AAATTCCCACGGTCGCTCTCCCGGATTCGATTCCGGATTCCCCATAGTGACACGTGGACGCTTTAACCGCCCGCATCACCGGGTCGGGTCATCCGACCTCAATTAAATATTTATGAGAGTTATTGGAATATTTTGAATAAAAATATAAAATTCGTCGCTGGTCGGTAAACCTAAATCTGCGCCCTTTCTTTTCCCCTTCTGTTTATAAAGTAGTAACGACCTCGAACGACTTTTGAAAGCGAATTTACTTGTTTATTGTAAGTGAATATCTATCGTTTTTTATTTGCATAATGACAAATGCTGCATTATTTTTCTTTTCTTCGGTCTGGTGAAGTACCACGTAAATGTCACAAGGTTGCCAAGTCGAGCGATCGATAGGCTACGATGTTACGAATACGCGTGTGTCCCAGACCATTATGTCTGGAAAATTCTCGAAACCGCTTAATCCTAAATACGGTATCGATATTTGGGAGTGGGCGAAGCCCTTGTTTGTTTCTTTCTCGTTTAGAAAGTGGCGTGCAACGGAAGGTCTCTTCGATTTTCTCTCGGGCCGTACGCGTTGCCTTATCGCATTTACACAAACATTCTATCGAATGCTCACCCTACACGCCACCACCAGACACGTGATTAATCTACGTTGCCCCCAATGGTTTTTGCCGGAGACGAAATTATCGTTGTTTACTTTGGGGTGGATGGCCCCGTTTAATCAGATTAACCCAGGCATTATTTCCGAAAATCGTTGGTTATCGAGGTATTTATGATAAAATTACGTTAAATATATTGTATAGGGCTTTTTTCGATTTCCGCCGACTTCTGCTGTTATTTACGAGATATTTATCTTGGCTATTTTGTTATCTTTCGATACTTATCGTTGTCATAAATAACCCGGACTTTCGATCGTCCGTCAGAAAAACCGGCGATTTATTTATTATTAACGGAGTAAAATACAGAATGCAGAATTATTTTAAAAACTTTCTCCATGTTTTAAAAAACGCGATATTTGACTTCTTTTAGTAAAAGAAATATATTTAAATTCTTTCAAAACTCGATAAATTATCAAAAATTATAATGGCGTTATGATATATTTAATACACCATCGATGTTTTTCTTAAAATCGCTAACGTGAAGATAAAGACCTTCAATTCGGTCACAGGCGAGAAGTCTCGAAGACTTTCCCGGCTGTTGTATATAACCGAGGGAAAGTATGACCCCAGATTTTTACATTTTTGGACTCGGAGGTCTTCGATACGTCGAAAAATGCAAAAAGATTCGGGTTATTTTCTGTACAGTACGTACGGATGTTACTGTGTGTATGTGTGTGGCGCGATTTTGTTCGCCTCTTCGAATCTTAATAATGCCTTTTGTCGAAAATTCTGAAATTCTGCAGGGAGGTTTGTTTATTAGGAGATTGATGCTATTAAATTTTGATGGTTAAAGCTCGAGAGTGGGAAGATAAAGGGGGTCGTGTATATCTCCGATAGGGTCGACTTCATGACGATTTTACTCGTTATTAACATTTATAAGTTTTTTTTTTTTTTATAAAACCCATCTCTAATTTCAAAATAAGATTTTTATCATTTTATAATAGTTAAAAATATAAAGTTTTTTAAACAAAATGTAACAGATGGCGCCACCAAATGTTGCCAGGAAAGTTAAACAACTCGTTGCCAGGTTTTTTCAATTGATTTTGTTATCTGGAGAGATCTTTCTGTATCGAGGACGTTGCGAGTATTTGTCATTTTTTAGGAATAATTTTTTTCCATTAAAATTGTTCGGTTTCTTCGTTTATATACGGAATGAAACACCCGCGCGTTCTTTCGAGGGCTTTCTATGGGAAATTGGTCCTCGTTTACGTGTGATAAATGTGAAGAACCCGGTAAACTCCGTTGGTTGTGGGCTGGACAGGCTCGAACCTACGACCGGTTTCTATGTTAGATGGTTATATTAATTAGTTGAGGACATTACCTTAGCATCGTTGCATCTTATATTATTGATACGATCGTAATTGCCTACGCGTTTTTTTCTATAAGAATTACACTTTTTACTTCTTCGTTTAATTGCTCTTTATTATTATTATTTGAAATTTTACCGAGTCTTCGAATAAAATGGTTTCTTTTAATATTAAAAATATCCTCGGTGTTCGAGTACGTCTCGCATTTCTCGGAATATTTTTGAGAGGATATTTTTTCCGTAATTAACGTTGGAATTTTTGAAAATAATCAGAAATAACGTGTTTTTCTTAAATAAAAATATGTTTTTATTTTCTGCAGATTTTTCTCTCTTTCCGGACGAAGTGTGCCTGGCACAAACGCTCCGAAGTTGGAAAAGAAAAAAAGAAAATTAAATTTTTGAAAATATATTTTAAATCCGAAAATATAAAAACATTTGCGACTTGACGGCTTCTTTTAAATTTAATTTTCTTTTATTAAAATGTTAATAAAAATTGTAAACTGCGTAGTAATTGCGATTTTAAAGACGCGCCACTCGCTTCTTTTGCACCCCGAAATTTTCTGTTTTAATTGGACAAACTTACATTTTTTGGAAAATATTTCTCTCTTATTTCCGAATCCTGGTTGTAATAATAAAAATAAAAATATTGAAAAATTTATTACCACGTCGCTATTATGTATAAAATTAGAATGTTAATGCATACAGTATTCATTTTATTCCTGTATAGTTTGAGATTTCCAATAAAATATCCTCGGATAAAAAAGTATCGATCGGTTCAAAGATTTTGGATCTTAATTATTTTTTCATCTGACAAAAATTGATTTTTATTGCTAAGATGGCAAAGATTTTCGATGAAAAATTTCTTCAAATTGTCTGGATTAGTAGTCGATGGGAGCGATCTATCGAGAATCTTCTTGGACCGATGTCCATAGACAAAATATGAATTTATACCCATTTTTCGTAAATATTGAGTCTAATATTTTTATTGTTTGTGCGAAAACCACTAACAATAAAATACAATTTGTGTGGTGGTCTGGAAGTCGCGGGTTCTCGTTTCTTCGATAGAGAAAAACATACAGTCGATCCCCTATAACTCTGTTGATTATTCCGTTTTATATGAATTCCATGTTGTACGAGTTACTTAGATTTTACAAATATTTGTGCCGGGCTATGAACGGCTGACGTATTTGTAAAATCTAAGTGACTCGTACAACATGGAATTCATATAAAACGGAATAATCAACAGTGTTATAGGGGGGTCGACTGTATTTAATCTCTTTCCTAAGTTGGAAAAATATCTCGTATTTGTAGATTAGTTTATTAAAAATTTTATTAATTTCTGCGCCGAAGTAATGCCGAAAATACCTATTCGACTTATGGATTTATAATTGTAAAATGGTTTCCGTACGGAAATTTGTAAATTGTCTTAAGAATTTTTCCGTCGTCTTAATCGATTTTGGAAACTTTAGATATTTTTCGAGTCACGTCTTCCGGTGGCAATCGATGCTCATAATTTACATTTTTATTTAAAATTCCCCGGTGTTCTCCTCGTAAAATTTCACGAATTAATGCGCGCCCGCCTGAAAAGTTAATACGAATAAATATTGTATCAAAGAACTGCTTTAATAATTTCGACGAATCGATTCTCAACAAATTTTATGCATCGAATTATGTATTTTCGTTTGATTCAATTAATCTTTTGATGAGGTACTTAATTCTTTGCCGTTCAAAATGCCCGAAGGGAGGAGAGTTTGCTTCCAGATCATATTACACGCAAAAAAATTTCTTATATTATATTTCCAATATTCGTGAGGATGAAATAAAATATTGTCGAAAAATTTTGTGTTGCCAATTGTCTCTATAAGGGATTTCACAATTGTCTTTGCTCTGTCTATTAAATACATCCAATTAATCATTTCTTTTAACTGGAATCGGATTGAAGCGCAAATAAAATCGTGGATTTTTAGTTAATGAGCGTGATCAAAACTTATTGCCGATAACAAATCTAATGCCAATGGCTCGCCTCAACATATTAGATTCGATTTGTTACGTGTTATACCGTGCAATTCACTCTACCACACATCCTAATTTTATATAGTTCGCACCAAACAAATTCGAAGCAAGTGAGAAATCGTGCCTTAACACAAATTCCTTAGTAGAGGATTCTGTGTCAAAGCGAATCTAAATCCACTTTGTCCCAGAATCCTCTAGCACTCTCGTAAAGCTTTAAGGATTCTGGATTGGTAAGGATCTAGAAGCCTTAAAGCAGTAAAAGAATATTGTACCGCATATCCTACTCGTTGAAATGGGTATAAAACGTTTCTTAATAAAACATGCTTTTACTTTTTTTGTCTGATTAAAATTTTCATTAAATATGTACTGTACTTATTTTTTGTAGATGTATTAAAAATTAAATCTGATCATAAAAATGTCACTAAGTCGTAATTTTAAACGGAATTTAATTTGTGGAAGTATCGATATTTTTTAAGTTGATAAACCAGTTGATAATTATAACAGGGTATTCTGGTATAATTAAGAAACTGAATTCATATTAGATACTGTTGAGAAATTGAAGTTGACACTTTGTATTAGTTTTAGACGAAGAAAAAAGATTTTTTAAATTAAAAATAACGTTACTATTATTGTTTTTTTAAAGAAATAAAACATCTGTAAGCATTATAATTCTAAAAATGATTTCTTTTAATTCAGTTTTTGTTAAATTTAAAATTAACAATTAGCTTTCTGAAAGAAGTCAAAATGTATTTTTCTTCATCTTTTTTTTCTCAAAATCAATTATAAACTCAAACAGAAGCTTTGAAATGTTAAGAAACATTCCTATATATTCTTTTTTCCTTTTTTATTGAAAACTGTTAAACTTTAAGTTTGATATGAAAGAATTGAAAATAAATTTTGAAGCTTATTTAATTTAATTGTTAAAAAACTTTACTAAGAACTGACTATTTTATGAATAAGTAATTAAAGGATGCTTATTCTTAAAATGTTCATAATTCTACTATAAAGATTTTTGTTAAAATTTATTTATTTTGCAGGGATGGCATAAGGAGGGTCGAAGTAGATTGAGCAGCTCTTGTCCTTCCCTTCCTCTCGTGGCCGATAATACGGGAAACGGTAAGCATTTAAATTATGTATTATGCAAAATTTGAATTTCTGCTATTATATATTTCATAAATAATGTTTCTGGGGACGTAATAGGCGGTAAATTAAATTGGTTTAATGGAATATTTATTTAAAATAGCATTTGATCATAAATTTTAATGGAAAATGGGAAATTATACATAAATTATAATTTTCTTGCATTTTTGAGTTTATTTGCAAAATGAGGAAATTTTTTCCTTTTCAAATTTGGAAGACGGGAATAATTAATAAACAGTTAGAAGAAGAAAAGTAAATAAAGAGTTTATTTTGAAACTAATATTAAATAGTTAAAATATATTTTTCTAAATTTCATGAAAATATAATTTTATATGGTTTCAAAAAATTCACTTAGGAAGAAGAAAATTTTAAATGGAAATGTTTCGGCCTTTCCTCGATTAACTATAACTTCACTCTTAGGAAAATGGATATTAATATGGGAAGCTCAGTCTTTACATTCATTTTATTTTAGCTCACCTGTTCAATGAACAAACTTCTGTAGAAATACAGATTGAAACTGTTACTTTCTCTGAACAGAAGTGACAAGTTTCAATTTACTTAGAAATGATAAAGAGGAATTTTGAAGCCTTATGATTTTAAAGATGATGTCATATTTAAAAAAAATATAATACTAAAATTTTTCTCCATAAATTAGTTTCTGGTGAAACATTTTTCGTGTACCTTTGGATCATTTTTTACAATAATATACTATAATAATTTTATAATAGAATTTTCTTTAAATTTAAATAAGATGTTTTTTTAATTAAGTTAACAAATTTAAGTTATTCACAGTTAGAGTAATTAACTGATGTTAGATAATCTAATTGTGAATAATTAAATATTCAATAACTTCATAGAGTAGTAAGTTACCTACGTCCAAAATATGTTATTTAATAAAGTTGTGAATTTTTCTTATGAACTGTATGCAAGATGTTTGTTAAGTTTCATAAACTTCACATTACCAACAATACACAAAATTAGAATTAAAATATTTAATGAATGTTTTTGCTTGTTTTGCTCAAGCTTCATCAGAACATTTAAAAAAGAACAGAATTTGCTTAAGTAGAACATATATGAATTTAAAATTTAAAAATATTGCATTTATAGCACATATATTTTCTTAAGATGTTTGTTTCATTACATTGTCAATTAATTAATTATTTAGATCTTGCACTTTAACAAATAAGCCTTCATTCCTTTGGGATAACTTAAAACTTTCATCTTACTAACTCACATCAAGCTCTTAAAAGAATTAATTATAGGCACCTACCAGAGATCTGACAACTCGACTGCACCGACTCCTGCTTGATGATATAAGATTGTTGGAACCATTTGTCGAATATTATTGTGATGGTGAATTGATCTATGACTAAAATTTTTGAAAAAAGTTTTTTTTTCAATTAAAATTAATTAAAGCATTCAAAAAGTTAAGTTACATTTTTTAAAACCTTTTTCCGACTTATGGACGATAAAATAGTTTTTTCACATTTATCATGGATTTGATCCAGCTTACAACAGAGGTGGCTGGAGAATTAGAGGTGGGTCAGACATATTTACATCAAGCCACCAATAAAGTTTTCTGAAGTTCCAACCTGGATCTAAATCTAAGATTTCCAGAATAGTGGGTTAATGTCTGTTTAGAAGCAAGATTGAAGAAACAAAAGACTATTCAACAAAAATATCAAAGATTTTTTTATTTTTATTTAATTTTATTATGTAATTTATCACTGTTTTGTTATCTATTTGATGTTTTAATAATGTGAAATAAACCAAACACTTTTATTTTCATTTATATGGTATAAGGAGCATTACTATGTTATCAAATAATTTCAATAAATCTGATTTTACATTTATTAATTCAATAAATATTGAATAAATAAAACTGTATGTAAAATGCATTTTGAAAGTATTATTTTTATTTTTTAAAATTGTAGAATTGTTTTAATACGTGTATATATATAATTTAGGTAATAATAATAATGAAAGGTTTCTAAGAGAAGAAAGGATAAATGTTTCGACTGCAACAATATGTGATTTACCTCAGAGAAAAAGAACATTTTCTTCAAATTCTGGTGCTAATGGATGTAAAGTTCAAGAAGGGAAAACGATGGATAACACGGTGAAGATTCGTGTCAACGACATCACCCCGTCGAATTCTCAAGAGTTTTTAAATACGGATGTTAATGTAGACGGCGACAGGAAACATTCCCTCGGCAGTTTGCCTGCTGACGTGCAGATCAAAGGACGGGGAAGCCATATAGGAGGAACTTCGGCTCAGAGATGCGCCCGAAAAGCCGGTTACAAGGAATTAGTTAGACGGCAGAGTTGGTCTTCCCTTCTGTCTAATACGCAAAATAATGCAAAAGAAGAAAATCTCCACATTCATAAAAGGTATTTAAAATTTAACATTTATTTTACATAATTTGGTTGTCATTTTTTAATTATAATTTTAAAATAAATGTAATCAAATTTATTTTAAGTTAAACTACTTTAGATTGATTTATAAATCACAATTTATATAAAGTTTTTATTTTAATAATGTTTCTATTCTAATTGCATTTTGCTTTTATATATTACTTTAATATTTGAAACATAACAAATAAAATTATTGTTTTTATATAATGTTACAATAGAAATTGGTGTAAAGCTGTTTTAATAGAATTATTTGAAATATATGATGTAAGATACACTACAAATATTAACATAAAATGACGAAAACCTGTGTTTTAGTGATAAATAAATCAAAAAGACTATTTTTTCTCCTTTTTAGTTTCACATTCTTACCTATAACTTCCAGGGCTACTCAAACCATAGTGCTTTTTGGCCTCATTCACAATCTGTCTTCATCTGTCTGTATTTGTTGCCATTTCCTGTCCATAACCTAATTGTTTTAAGTTAGCAGTCATGTCATCTTTCCATTCAAGCTTTGATCTTTATCTGGACTGATTTCAATAATAGTAGTTATGTAGATTCAGTGTCGTAACTAGGGCGGTGCCAGCAGTGCCCAGGCACTGGGGGCACAGAAATGACCTGGACCTAGTTTTGGGTTATGCATGCCATGCATGCTCCAAAAATTGGTCCTTGTGTTTGACAAAAGAAATACACGTTGCTGCCAATCGAAAGAAAAAATAACTATCTAGTACAGGCACAAGTTGGCCAACCCATAGTTATAATAGCACACATACAATATTTTGTATCATGTCGTATAGTATAGTAAATGTCATATAGTATAGTAGGGTGCATCTACACCCTTAAATGCACCCTACTATACTATATGACATTTGTTGAGCAATCTTGAAACTACAACATTNAAAATTTAATAACAGATAACAATAAAACTGATTTATTCTTATTTTTATAAAAATAAAATTAATATTATTTGTTTAGAAGTGGCTATCAACAATTTCCATCTTTTTATGACAGTATTATTTTTTTAGTATTTAAAACAGACACTTTCAGTTTTAATTTAAGTGAAAAGTTAATTAACTAAGTTACAAGTTTTGTTTGCAGCATAAATTGCATTTGTTTGTTTGTAGCAAAAATATGCTACAAACAAACAAATGCAAATAAATGAATAAAAAATTGGAATATTATTATTCTCTTATATTGATCTCTTTTTATTTGGAAGTCAAAATAAAGTGCATGTCTAGAATAAGCAATAAACTACTATAATAGGCAATAACATATTTGTTATAATCAATGTTTGCTGTAATTTATCTCTTTTCTAGCTACACTTTTGATAACTTATGCAGTTTATAATAGAGTTACAGATACAAATCTTAATCTCAAAAGTATTAAAACTGTTGTCAAATTCCCCAGTTTAGAGTGAATTTGACTAACAGTTTCAATACTTTTGGCATAAACAAACATGGGATGAATTTTTTGTTGCATCAAAAATCTTATTTCCATGCAAACTCTATATTATATTAACTTTATAAATTATTGTATACTTCAAATTGTTTTTCATTTAAAATAATCAATGATTTATCAGACTTTTATTTAATGATAAAAATAGTTTTTTAATTTACTAAACTTTGCTTAATGTTTTACATTTTATGTTATAACATTAATATATATTTTGAGATACAAGTGTTAAGAACATTTTACATTTAGTTTTCTATGGTTCATTTTGCTGTAGGCTTAATCACTCTTTTATATATACATCTTTATTTAAGTTAATATTAAGAAAAATTGATTTGTAAAACTGTTTTGTTATAATTTTTATAACAATATAGTTAAATAAATAAAACTCATGCCAAAATTGTATACCTTCTTGCTTGTTATCAAGAAGCTAAACAATATAAATTTATAACATCATCACAATGCCTGGCTGCAATTTTTAATTTATGTTTAATTTAAAATATATGCTCTCCACTCAAATTAGTAGTGTCTTGTTCCTGCACATCATACTTTTCCTGCTAGCAATAGAGTTATGCTGGTCATCTATCTAACTCCCTGCGGGGAAAAATTTTTGAATTGAAATAACGTGACTTCTGGTTTGCATCGGAAGTTCGTATATAGTTAATTAGGGCCTCCTGCATCTGCTCTCATCTTTTGTCTATCTAACTCCCTTCTCGAGATTAAAGAAAGACAGACAGGCAACTGACGACAGTGGGAATTTTAGGTCTGCAATTTGAAAAATTGTAGACCAATAAAATATACAATATACATTTTAAAATAATTGCAGATTTTTAATTGGACAATTAGTTACACCTAAAATTAAAACAATTAAAATAAACTTTGAATTATTTTACTTCTAAGTATGATTCACATATCTCATCTATTTTCTTTAAACATATTCGGATAGAAATTTATCTGTTTTATTGTTTATCTTTTCTGGTGGATTTTCTTGGCTTAACAGATTGGTTATTTACTGTTAAATTCATTTCAAGAGAAATCCTTAATAATAGGATTATAGAAACCAATAGTGTAACTTATCTATTTGAATCTCTCTCTCGACAAGTTGATGGAATGTTCCATTTTTATTTTAAGCATCTTGTTTATCAAAGATTAACTAAATTCTGTTTGCAGTAATATAACAAAATATCTTTTTCATTTGAAAATAATTTTAGATTATATTCCTATCATTGCTGAAATACTTGTCTGTGTATATAATTCAATCAGTTTACAATTCATATTTCAAAGGTTTTCTCCAAAATTTAGAAATGATTGTAATCAAATGTTATCGAATTTTGGAAGAATTGGAAATATTCAATTCTTTTGCTTTTACTATGGATACCAAAGTACAGTTATTTTTCTTTTAGTTTGAATTTTTTAAAATCTTTATTGAAATAATATAAAATATAAAAAGTTATAAAATGGAAATTAATATTTATTTATAAAATACAGTTGGAGTCTAAGCAGTCTGGAATCTGACACGGATGACAATACGTTTTATGATGCACGAGATCTTCCATTATCTCCCACACATACTTGTTTACCTTCTTCTACTAATGGAGTAGTATCATCTAGTAATGATAGTTTGAAGGAGAAACAACGTAGCTTTTCAGGTATAGTATTTTTTATTAAAAAAAATAGATTATTTTTTTTCAAATTATATTAATTGTGTTGTTTAACTTTTATAAAAACTCAATAAATTGTAACTCATGTTATTTTTACAACAGTAAAACAATTTATATAAAAGATATTTTGTAAATATTTAAGAATTATCCAAATTATCATAGTGAAAATTCTCAGTTATTTATTACAGTAGATTTGGATTTCTTTAATCACTTTTGGTCTTGCTTAAACTGATAACAATAACCAAATTATAACATCAACAGGAGTAGGTAAATAAGGCTATAATTGTGGAAAATTCTGGTTTTATTGACTCACATTAATAGGACAGTAAACAATTAAAAATTATTTAAGTTGAAGATTTATTAATTATAATAATTATTTTTTTTAATGTATAATTCTTTAGAAAAACTCATGCTTGCTATGTAAATAGTTTTATTGAGCAAAAGGCATTCAAAAGCAATGCTACTAATTTCACACTGATAGCTTTACATGCAGTATATTTTTAATTATACTTTAATGTTTTTGGTCATATTTAATGACCTTCAAAGAAGAAAAATTTAGAATGTGTTTAAAATGGATCACTTGGATCAGCAGCTGTTGCAGTGTGCAACTGTTTGTCATTAGTTCATTTTTTGTTTTGAAAGTTGCGTCAAATGTATTAAAACCAAGGAATAAAGCAAAAATAATTTACAGTTTCATTAATGGCCATCATCATTCACAGTAATACCAGACTTATTATATCAGGATAGGAATTATGACTTGATTAGGAAATCATCAACATTTATTGATTCACTTTATACAGGGGAATGCATTTTGGACCATTTTGTCCCTCATCAGTTCCTATACAAGTTATACATTGTCAATAATCATACATCACGATGTATTACTGTGTATGATGATGGCCATTAATTAAACTGTGAAACGACAACCAGGCATGAAGCAAATACAAGAAAAAATAATCTACTTATCAAATGGGTACAACCTTACCTTGGCTTCTGAGTTGCCATAGCAACATCTACTTCTGAAATTTACTGCCAAAAATACTACATCAATAAAGCCTGTGAAAAAATTTGTGACTTTGATGCATTCTACGCTCTGTCAGAAGTGACTTTTCTTATATTTTCTGACTTTTTTATTATTTTCACATTGAGCCATTCAGACACGTATGGGTTTGAAATTTAATATGTGTTTGCTAAGCAAATAATTATTCATTGGTACGTTAAACATTGCTAAGTCTGGTAATAATAATTGATAACAATTGCCAATATGCAGAGTCTATTGTATATACTGCAGGAATTATTTTTTGGATATTAAATTATAAATAAGTGTATCATTGAGTAATAAATTATTTACATAATTTTAAAATAATATGCAAAACAATTTAATTAAAATAAATTTGATATAATTAGTCTTTTAACTCAATAATAATATTTTTGAAATGCATATAATAGGCTAATATAATAAATGTATATATACACAAATTAGTTGCCTAAAAGCATGAATCTTTTAATTGTTACAATTTTTTTATGACTATTAAACTTTCCAATTTGGGAACTAAATTAACACATTTATTAGTAGAAATATTTTCCATCACAGGGTTTAATCATTGTTGTTAATCAATACAGAAATAAAAATAAATAAATAACAGTTTTTGTCTCTGTTATGTAACCAAACATTACTAAGTTTTGATTGAAAACACTTCTATTAATAAATTCATTAATTATATTTCTGCATTAACCATTTGTAAATTAATTACTGCAAATTGCTGAAATTAAAAATGCTTGCATTCTTTTTAGAAAGTTGTTACATTTAATTCTTGATTTAATTATTTTTAAAATAAATGTAATCAAATTTATTTTAAGTTAAACTACTTTAGATTGATTTATAAATCACAATTTATATAAAGTTTTTATTTTAATAATGTTTCTATTCTAATTGCATTTTGCTTTTATATATTACTTTAATATTTGAAACATAACAAATAAAATTATTGTTTTTATATAATGTTACAATAGAAATTGGTGTAAAGCTGTTTTAATAGAATTATTTGAAATATATGATGTAAGATACACTACAAATATTAACATAAAATGACGAAAACCTGTGTTTTAGTGATAAATAAATCAAAAAGACTATTTTTTCTCCTTTTTAGTTTCACATTCTTACCTATAACTTCCAGGGCTACTCAAACCATAGTGCTTTTTGGCCTCATTCACAATCTGTCTTCATCTGTCTGTATTTGTTGCCATTTCCTGTCCATAACCTAATTGTTTTAAGTTAGCAGTCATGTCATCTTTCCATTCAAGCTTTGATCTTTATCTGGACTGATTTCAATAATAGTAGTTATGTAGATTCAGTGTCGTAACTAGGGCGGTGCCAGCAGTGCCCAGGCACTGGGGGCACAGAAATGACCTGGACCTAGTTTTGGGTTATGCATGCCATGCATGCTCCAAAAATTGGTCCTTGTGTTTGACAAAAGAAATACACGTTGCTGCCAATCGAAAGAAAAAATAACTATCTAGTACAGGCACAAGTTGGCCAACCCATAGTTATAATAGCACACATACAATATTTTGTATCATGTCGTATAGTATAGTAAATGTCATATAGTATAGTAGGGTGCATCTACACCCTTAAATGCACCCTACTATACTATATGACATTTGTTGAGCAATCTTGAAACTACAACATTTGTAAGTCTCGCAACATTACACACACAAACAAAAGTATACTTTGATACAAGAATCTAAATTAATTTGAAGGAGGACACCACCTCTAAGCAAATCTGTCAAACTAGCTGAGATTTACATATAGTTCATGCTGTCTGCCATGTTCATTTTGATCATTGTCATATTATTAACATCGGGGCACTTGGAGGTTATTGTTTTGTCATTATTTTATGGTCTGTATATATTTAAAATTTAATTAAAAGTAAAATTGTGTGTGAGAGTGAATAAGCTTTTTGTTGATTTGATGTTTGTTGATGACTCGTTTGGGTAAGTTGAAAAATTGTATTTATAAGTTGTACTGGAAAGTTTTATTATTTAATATTAATAAATAATACTATTGTGTAAATGTTATTAGCTATTACTTTAGATGTTGGATTAGGTACCTTCCTAAGTATATTTATTTTAGATGGCATTTTTATGGTGACCATTTCTATGCTCATGTTCAACACACAAGTATGTAACCTATATATACTAGACTAGACCTGATTTGTGATTCTTCTTTCAGAAATATTACCTACTGGCTACTGTAAGCCAAGCACGCACATCATAACAAACACCGTGTCAAAAAAAGTCCATTTGGATCTGAATTTCGAAAAAAAAGCGAGTGAGGGAAATTGAAGCCAAAAAATTGGGAAATTCGTTAAGAAAGTGGATAGTCACACAGGCAGAAAATAGACAGGAAGATGATGTACCTAATGACGTTTTGACACTCCCTGGTATGTCTTGGTCTGGAAACAATTTAAAGGAAAAAAGTAAAGACAGTCCAGTCAGTCCAATTCAGAAAGACTTGACCTTGTCCACTGTTAGCCAAAGTTCTGAAATCCAAATTGTAGAAACAGCTGCAACTAATAAGACCCAATTAGACACAAATGATCCTGTTTCATGGTTACCCTTAACTGACCCCATTCATTGTTTCCTTGTCGAGAAAGGACCTGATCAAGGAAAAGGTAGTAAAAACATTTCTTCAACTGAAGATGCAGGACGAAAATTTCATATGCATTGGTTTACAAAAAAGATGAGCAATGGTGAGATGATACCCAGGCGATGGTTGATGTACAGTAAAAAAAGCGACACAATATTTTGTTTTCCATGTATACTTTTCAGTTCTTCCTCGACTAACCAGATAAGGCCAGCACTTGCTGATGCACAAAAAGGATTTAATGAATGGTGTCATTTAAGTCCATGAAATTTCTACATTTCATAGAGAAAATTTTATTGAGTGGAAAATGCTTGAACAGCAATTAAAAAGTAAGACCATAATAGATGAATTTTTACAAAAAATTATTGATCAAGAAACAAAAAAGTGGAGACATATTTTAAAAGTGTGTACTAGCATACTTTTGTTCTGCGCAGAAAATAATTCACTTCTCATAGGTTCTCATGAGCATATTGGAAAATTAGGATCTGGAGTTTTCCTAAGTGCCGTGGATATGATTTCAAAATTCGATCCTGAACTTAGAGCACACATTGAATCGCTTGATAAAGGAAATATTTCATATTTTACACTGTATATTCAAAACAAGCTAGTGGATATTCTTGTGTCTGAGGTCAAAAAATAAATTTTAGATGATGTTTGTGCGGCAAAATACTTTTCTATGCTTTTTGATTGTACACCAAACGTATCGCATCAAGAACAGATGTCACAAATATTAAGTTATGTAAAAATATCCGAGCAAAAAGTTAATATGGCCGGTAAATATAACAGTGTCCAAGCCAAAATAAAACAAATTAATGATAATGCTAATTACATGCTGTGTGCAGCACATTCTTTGAATTTATCTGGCATACATGCTTCTAGTGTGACACCTGATATGATCACTTTTTTTGGAGTAATCCAGAAAATATTTGTGTTTTTTTGGAATTCTACAGTCAGATGGGAAACTTTAATGAAACATTTAAATATTTCTTTGAAAAAACACACTGACACTAGATGGATCTCTAAAGCTATGGCTGCCAAAGCTTTAAACGTGCAAATTCCCCAAATCTGGTGTGTGCTAATTACCAACGATTATAATGCGGAAACAATCGCTACAGCTAAAAGCATAATGGACCTAATAAACTACAAATTCATATGTACTCTGCAAATTTTGGATCAAGTTTTAGAATCTGTTGACAGAGTGAGTGTAGCTCTACAGTCGAAAACCATTACTATCGACAAAGCCTCTGAATTAATCAAGACATTAACAAGGCAGATTCAAAATGTTTGCAAGACTGTGGACAATGTTTCTGAAAAGGCAGAAAATGTTTGTGAAGAATGTGAAATTGAAGACAATTTTCCTAAAAAGCGACGAAAGTGAATAAAAAGACACGATTTAAGCAACAGTTAGATGCTGGCTATGACATTACCCAACAACAAAGTTTCAAAATTCAGATAAATGAAGCAATAGATAGAATAATTTCTGAATTCAAATGGCGATTTGAAAAACTACACAACATTTACCACTTTTTCAATTTTTTGACGGTACAAGGCATAACTACATATTCAGTTGAAGAACTAAAAAGACATGCTGCTGACTTGAGTATTAAATATTCTACAGATATAAATGCCACAGAATTTTGGGCCGAATTAGAAACTTTGAAGAGTCAAGTTGAAGCGACTGAATTATTTGATGAATGTGAATGTCAGTCAAGTCTGGGTCTTCTTAAAGCTATAATAGAACTGGATTTAAAATAAATGTTTTCCAACTTAGTAATCGTTATAAAGATTTTTTTAATGATGCCAGTGACTGTAGCTTCCTGCAAGAGGTCATTTAGTAAGCTCATATTGATAAAGACATACCTGCGCTCGACGATGGGCCAAGAAAGATTATCTGGGCTAGCAATTTTGTTGATTGAACGTGACACAGCATGGCTTCTGTCATATGACAATGTCATCAAAGACTTTGCAAAGAAAGCGCGAAAAGTAAATCTATAAGTACCTAGGTAGTTGTTTTTTTTATTTTTTTTATTTTTTATTTTTGTTTGCGTTTATGGTTTGCCTTATCCTTGGATCTTTACTATCTCTGATAACAAGTGTCTGGTGTCATTTTTGAATTGTATTATTGTGTATTTTGGCAAATATTTTCGAATAAGTATTTTTTTTACTAAATATATTCTAAATTCTACTAAGTATGTACCTGTAAATAAAATTTTAGTTTTTAGAATTATTTTTATAGATATTTTCCATTTTATTGTCAGAGCCGAGTAAAATTAGAGCATTTTTCAAGGGCGTAGTTACAGAAGCTTGCACCAAGCACATAAAAGGCTAATTATGGCACTGTGTAGACCAGTGGTTCCCAATTAGTTTTTCCTGCGTACCACTTCAAGAAAGAGCTCAAACTCATGTACCTTTTCCTTATCGCAGAAATTCATATTAATCCACACTAATATTATAAATTTGAAGGTAATTCTGTCTGTCTATCTGTTGCCTTTTTACGTCTAAACCACTGAACAGGTTTTAATAAAATTTGGCACAGAGATAGCTTACATGTTGGAGATGGACATGGGCTACATTTTACTATGAGAAAATTCGATATAATATGGGCGAAGCTGTGGGTAGACAACTAGTGATAAATAGAATAAGTTTTTTTACATTTATTACCTTTAAAATACAATTCTAATAATAATGAAAATAACATAAGGTTATTTAATTTTAATGCGACAAATGTGCACGATTTTCTTTGCACAACTTTGAAAAATCTGGTTGCTATTTGGTCAGCTTCAGTCTCGAGTCATCTTCAAGTTGAAGTCGGTGACAATGTTTAGTTTTCATGTTTGTCATGGCCGAAAATCCGCTCTTGCAGAGGTATGTTACGCAAAATGGTAGAAAATATTTTATTGCCGCTTCTCTAACATGATGATAATGATAATTGTACAATTAACACATATTGTGTTAATTGTACAATTTTTGTTTCCTGCGTAAGAATTTCATTTAGGTATTGTCACAAATGCATTTTTTTAATGAAATTTTGAGAATATTTTTAGTTATAAATAAATGAATTTGTGCATTCGACATCGTGTTGTAAATTGCCGATTTTTTGTTGGTCCACCCATTATTTTTTTGATTGCTTCATCTCATGCATTTAAATTTTAAATCGACTGATTTTAGATTGCCGCAGGTACCCCTTCATGCAATTTTGCATACTCCCAGGGGTACGCATAACACTAATTGGGAACCATTGGTGTAGACTATGCTGGGAGGTTTTTCCAAGCATTTTTGTTGTTGGTTATGATGACAATGTTATCTGTAAAAGTCACTAGGTTGATGGTATTTCCAATGTTTCTTTTGGTTACTTTCTTTAAGTCCTGTTCTAAGTTAGAATATACATAAAATTTGAAATAAACAATCATTAAATTATTTTTCTTAAATGTTTCTCTCATTAAATAAAAAAAATAAATTTTATCATTGTTTAACTATTATCTAAAATTATAGAGCCATATTCATTCATAATGAAAAAATAATCATATAAGAACTGCATACATTTTAATATAATGAACAGTTGTAATTAGTTTTGCTTTGATTGTTTTGATGTCTTTTTCTGTCTGTTTCTTTTAAAAGCAGGAATAATAAAAAAAAAAATAATGCAAATAATTAATGTTGTATAGTTCTCAATGTGGATTGTGGACTCAGGACTAATATGTTTAGGTTCTTTGATAAAGAAATATACTTAGGCATTGTACATATCCAGATAAAAATATTAGATACAGCAGCAGCAGACAATATATAAATATAAACTATGTATGTATATTATGTATACAGTTTATTTATATAAAACACAATTCAAAACAGAAAAATTCTAGACTTGATTCATTACAAGTATTTTGTTGAAATCAACGAATAAAGTTGGGAAAACAAAATTTTCTTTTGAACAAACAATTGTTTCTTATTGTGTTTTTCTTTATCCCCTTTTCTTCTGTTAACAGTTGGTCTTTCTCCTTTCTGGGTTCCTTAACATGGGTCACTTTGAGAGTTTTTCTCATTTTTACCAAACAAAAAGACATCCTTACTTGACATCTGGTTTGTCACTACCAATCCATGGGTTGAATGAACCTGTGGCCAGCAGCGCCAGAGATCCTGAACACTGTCTGGCAACGAGAGTTGGCTAGCAACGTTGAAAAGAAAAAGGCGTGAAAGTTTGTTGGATTTGCCCAGGTGTTGTCAGAGGATGTCGGTGACAGTTCTGACCTTTTTAATAAAGTTTTTTTGTTACTGTTTGTGTTTGAATGCTTAGTGTTAGTTCTAAAGATCAGTAGGATTGAATGACAAAAACCCTTTGAAGTTTTGGTCACAGACCAATCCAAATTAATCGCTATCACCTAGGGAACCAATACCCCAAATAGGTTAGTTAGTAGCACTAGAATGGAAGATAGAAAGGGATAATAAAGAAAAGAAACAATGAATGCCAGACCACAATACTTCTTATTTATATACAAAACATGATACTTAACTGATAACATACTAAAATAATTATAATATATTTATAAATAGCAATTTATAATTTAGTATTAGGAAGTCATAAACGTAGGAATTTGCATATATTTCATTGAATTTTAAAACATTATTGCAGAATTAAAATGCAAATGGTTTTTCATTACACTTTCCTCTCCTTTACTTTTGGATGTTGGCCAAGTTTGTCTTGCTTTCAATAAACATAAATTAAAATCTTTCTTACCTATCCACATTACTACTAGTCCTCTGGTACATCTTTGTCTTCTGGGTGCACTTTAAAGCGATCAATAATATAACTTCCATGGAGAGCATGTTCTAAGTTCCAAGAATTTTACCAGATTAGCCATTTATCTTCTCTAATGAAGAAATATTTTGAAATTTTTCTAGCAATAAGATTTTGCTGCTAGAGTTTACTTTCTGCATTCGTTAGAAATATGTACATATTATTGACTCTATAATCTTAAACAAAACTAAGAAAGTGGGTATGATAAAATTACAATTTCAATATACTCTTTAGTATATTGAAAGTGTATATTGCAAGGATGTTATTAATGTAAATAATGTACTGATCCAAAGTTAATTAATGGATTAAATTATTAAGTATAATTTAATAATTATTTTAATAAAAATTCATATATTTAATTCATAGAGGCATTGAAAAATGTTAAAAAGCTTTTCTTTGTTATTTTTTTTTTACTTATAAACAAACTTTTGTGTGTAAACTCTGATTTTTTTTAATGGAAAGATTGACTCAAATTTAATTTAAAAATTATATTCTTTAAGAAATCTTACATTGAATAGTTAAAATAAAAATTGATTGTATAAAATTATTTCATAGAAGAATAAATTTATTGTAGCTTTGTTCGGTGACTTATTTAATTTAACTCCTTGAATTTAATTAAATATATTACTAAGTAAGAAGTTTAAAAATTTTAATTTCACAGACTCCTGTAAATATATTGTGTGTTTATGATTCAAATTAAGCTTTGTTTTAATAAGAAGGTTATTTTAATATTTAATTATATTAATAATGTAAATATGTTTTAAATATTAAATAATAATGTTGTTAATAATGAGTAATATTCTTATAATTTGTTAATAAATGATATAGCATTTATCTCTTTTAGCAGAAATTATTATAAATGCAAATTATTTTATGAAATAATATTGTAAAATTTTATAATATTTTAATAATTGGATATTGTATATACATGTGTATATATGAGTATAAATATAAATTTTTAAATTTTAATAGCTGGTAGTGGTGACGATGTCTTTCGTTCACTTGTCGGCGATAGAGGAACTATGGCCGTTCACAGTTTGACAGATATTAATTCTGATGTTCATTCTGTAAGTAAACAAAACTCATTTTGTAAATCAATTATTAATAATGATTTTTATTTTATTTTTGATACTATTTTTTGTGTAAAAAACTTAAATTTGGAAATATTTTCACTTATACAAGAAAAAATAGAAATTGCAGTTTTTAATCTAACTGTAAATATTAAAGTTGAGAAACTTTTTTGTTTAAGAATATAAGAGTCGGGAGAAAAATGAAATAAAACTGCTGTTATGTACTACTGAAACTATAAATTAAACTTCCAACTATTTATTTGAGCATTAATTATAATCTTTTCTGATCCTTCATAAAGTAAATCCTTTCTGATACCCAGATATAAATTTCTTTAAAATAAATAAATAAGTTGCAGATGCAGAATTTTTCTCCGTTATTTATATGCTCTATAATTAAAAAATGCATGCTTGAGGAATTATATTATCTAATGTATTTTTGAAAAGTAAAAGAAAAGAAAATTAAATTCTGCTATTCATTTAAATATTTTAAATAATTTTGTAGAAATGCTTTCAGTCTTTAAAGGATTATTTTTAATTTTTGCATGAAAATATATTGAACAAAATATATAATCAAATTTATATGAGACAAATATGACTATAAATTTTAAAATGTTCAGTAAATAAATATTTTTTACTTACTTCTTTATATCTCTTAGACAAACTATGAATATATAACATGTAAAATTTTCTGTACAGTGTAAACTTACCAAATATATTCAGGGCTAGTACAAGAATATTTGATGCCCCTATGCAAAGAAAATTTAGGTGCTCTTATACATTGTCTATATATAATTACATTCATATTATTATTATCATATCATTATTATACTCATACGAGCACACATACACTCATATATATATAAATATATAAAAATGATATCATTAAGAATATATTTTAATCTTTATAAATTAACACTAATTAATGATTTTTTTTTTCTTTGTCTATGAGTAAGGCTGATGCATATATATGCAATTGCCTAGATTTGCCTAATGGTAAAACTGGTTCTGAATATATTTATTGAGTATGTAAATCAGTCAACCAAACTGAAATTTCTGTTGCATTGTGTATTGAATGATATTGTTTTAGTTATCATGATCACAGTTATCAAATTAATATCCAGATGATGTCCTTTTGAAAATAATTATACATGTTATTGGCCATCTTTTGTACAAATTCATTTTTCTAGTATTCATACATATGTTTATTTTATAATACATGTAAAAAACGAAACTTGAAAATGGTTAAAGGAGTCAGGATATTTATTTTTTGGATTTAGTGTTTTTTTGGGATTTTTCAATCTTGTTCTCAGATCTCTACAGAGGTTCAAAATGTTGTGCACAAACCAATGGCGCACCCACCCAGAGGGGAACCAAGAAGCCCTGGCACTCTTCAACAAAAAAAGGAAAGAAACACTAAAAAATTTTTCAACAATCTTCTCCTAATAAATATTTTTTTGTTTTTATTTATATTGTGTCATGTCTTCTATTTCTGTACTACTTATGAATTAGTGGTCACGCAAGGTGGGAATTTTATTGAATTTGCATTAAAAAGTTTTTCGTCTGTTTAACTTGGCTCCCCAAGATTAAATCCTGAGTGTGCCACTTGCATTAACAGTTGTTCTATTCAAATTATCAGAACATCTATTGATCTCAAGATGGGATTGAAAATCCCCAAAAAACATTTAATACAAATAAATAAACTGACTTCTTTAACCACTTTCAAGTTTTTTTTCTTACATTTATATCCATGGAATTGTTTGTTACAGTTTTTTGAGTTTCAAGATACATTTTCAGTAGTTTAGTTTCTATGTATGTTATGTTTTTTTGATTTTATACCTTAAGAGTGAATGTAGGAAGTATGAAAATACTGAGGAAATTTTGTTTGCTTTTTTGTTTTGACTCTAATCAAATGTTTTATTTGAATTGCTTTTTTATAATTATTCTTAATAGATAATGTATTATGTGGAAACATTTACACATATCTGTTGAGAGCACTTGAAACTCTGATAAATTATTTGAAAGTATTTGGTAATTTTTAAAATTGTTGGACTTTGAACTCAAAATTGAGTTTTAAATAAACACTTGGCTTTATTTCCATTTCCTTTTAGTTAATATTAATCAATAAGTGCTTTATCTTGACTTTTGTGACTTAATTTTATGTCTGTTAAGTATGTTAAGAAAAATTATGGTAGATTTAAAATATAAAAAATGTAGAATTCATTTTTCCACTTTGTATGAATAAGAAAACCAAAAATAGACTAGTTTAGAAAGATGTAAAATATATTTCCTATTATATTTCTATATAACAATCTACTCTCAGGCTTTTCTCAATTTAATAATAATATAAAGAACCAATAAAAATATATTTTGATTTATCTTTATTCAAATGCTTAGAGATTATTCTTTTTCAGCCAAAAAACATATGATTTTATATAGATTTGGAGATAATAAATTTTTTTTTAAAACTAAGTTAATGAATTACCTCACTTGACTGCCTGTAACCGGTGTTCTTTCTCTCCAATACGAAGGACTTTGCAAACGTTTTCGAACCTAATTTGGTTCTTCTTCAAAGTCCTTCGTATTGGAGAGGAAGAACACCAGTTACAGGCAGTGAAGTGAGGTAATTTATCATTTCCGGTGTTATAATTTCTATATAGTTTAACTAAGTTAATGACTTGATTCTTAAGAATTAAGCTCTAATCATTTGAATATTTTGGAATTGGTTGTCTATAAGATTTTTATGCATTTATTTAAAGATAATCAAAGCTTTTTTTTAATTTGTTTCAGTGTACAGAAGACGAAACTATGGGTGCAAATAACCTGATAGGCTGTTCCGATACAAATGCATGGCTATCAGCACCAAGAACCCCTTTACAGAAATCTGTATCGACACCTTCCATCTTAATTGCTCAAGAAATCCAAGAGAAAAGTATTTAAATATATCATAATATATTTAAGATTTAGGAATTAATTACTACTTTTAATGTAATATAATTATTAATTTTATATAGAATATCATACATGACAGTTTATTAATAAGTAGACAAACAGGTTGTTTTCATATTTTGGAAGAAATAATAATCCTCGCATTATTTATTGTCCTTGGCTATTTCATTAATTCTTATACTAATCAAAATATTTTTTATAGAATATTAAGTACAATTGTACTTAAATAACATTATTATATTGAGAAAAAATATTTTCATAATTGAAAATCTAGACAATACAAACAATGATTGAGTCCTTTAAATCCTTTTCACTCCATTCAGGAACTATAAACAGTAGGTGACTTGAAGCAAAAAACTTCTTAAAATTAACAGATAAACACTACTAAAACATTACATGTTAAAAATGTAACCTCAACGTCAACCTTCTGTTGTAGGCTTTGAAGTCTACAAACATTTAAAAAATATATATTTAATATATTTTTAATGTTTTTGAAAATATATTAATTTTTAAAATATTTTTTTAATGTTTGTAGATGTCGAAGCCTACAACAGAAGGTTGATGTTGAGGACATTTTTAACATGTAATTTTTTAATAGTGTTTATCTGTCAATTTTAAGAAGTTTTTTGCTTCAAGTCACCTACTGTTTATAGTTCCTGAAAGGAGTGAAAAGGATTTAAAGAGGATTTAAAGGACTTGAACATTGTTTGTATTGTCTAGATTTTCAATTATGAAAATATATTTTTCTCAAATTAAAATAATCCTGGGCTTATGTATAACATTATTATATTTTTAATGCCAAGTATTTTGTCTGCAATATATAAATTGTTTAGCAAAGTAAGGTTAAATGATTCGGAATAAATGTGATTTAGGAATTTTAAATTTTGATTACATAATTTGTTCCAAAATTTTCTGGACAAGTTTAAAGACATATATATTTCAAGTAAGTAAATTTTTTACGTATTAGTCCAGTGGTTCTCAACCCATATTCTGCTGAACACAGGTATTCCACAAACTTGTCCAGACTGTTCCATGAGAAAAAAGACTTTTTTTGCAAATTTATTGTAAGACAATTTCTAGACATTTCCATGTTTCATATTTTATTTAATACAATAAAATTTATTACTTTATTGGTTTAGTGTTTTTTGAAAATAGTAAACATGGAATTAAAAATACAATGTATTCAAAAATATCACAATCAATCCATCAGTGTGAAATCTAGACACTTCAAACGTTTTTGGCCTACCTCAAAGGTCTTCTTTGGGAAGAACAGAGTTCCAAAATGGATTGCTTGACAAGCCACAGAATTCTCACTTTAAAAATCACACTTTAAATTCAGAATGGCTTATTGATTTTTGAATATAATGATGCTAATGCTTTACATAATGAAAAGTATACAAATGGTACACTTGTACAATTTGTATACTTTTACACTTGTACTTGATACAAATAGTATTCTGTGGTCTCAGAATGGTTAAGAAATACTGTATTATTCAAAGTATACTTCTCCATGGCAATTGTAAAAGTTTTTCTAATAAATAACCTTCAAAAGGTCAGTTGCAACTTTTTGAGTACCTTCAATGCCATCAGAATGTGCCATTCATTAAAATTGTATTTTATTTGGCAGTTATAGTAACTTTTTACAGTTTGTATTAACTGTCTTGGACTTAGTATTGTGGGAAAAATTTCAAATTTTTCTCACAGTATAATAATGCTAATCAATAGTTGGAACTGGTCTTTTGTGGGTAATTAAATTGGGAAAACTGATGGATCTGTGAAATTTTGGGATAAATTGTAAATTGAGAAACTCTAGTTGTTTTCTTTTTTCCAGAAAGAAGTTAACTTTATTAAAATTCTCTATTAAAAAAAATATAACTTGTATTTGTTGCAATTTTTAACAATTATATCTTTCTGATCTAAAAACTTAACATAGGATGCTTGTAAGAAAATTATAAAACATTACAAATGTTTACAAAGACAATAATTGAAAATATACAAAAATCCATAATAAATCATTTAATTGTAGAAGTTGTTTTAATATTTTAACAAAATAATAAACTGAATAAAATATATAAAAAGGTGCTTTTACATAAACCTTAACATTTCATTTTAATAACTTTCTTGTTTTATTTTTTCAGATCATCGGGAATGTAATAGAGATAGGTAAGTTATATATTGTTAATAGATTTTTTCTGCTAATTGAAAACTCAATTTATCAATCTGTTAAAATAAAAATTTCATTCAAAAAGAAAACATAAATGAAATTAAAAGCTTTTAGTTTTGTCAAGGTTAATATATTTAAAAATTCAAATGTCTCAGTTCTTCAAAAAAAATTTTCCTTAAATAGTTTTCATTAAATTATGGAGATTTATTATTATATTTTGCATCTTAGATGAGAAATGTAATAATTATTAGAAAGTTATTTATGTAAATTTTAGAAAAACGATGATATTGTGATGTCGATATCTATATGGTGTCTATTATACTTTAATGAGAAAAAAGAATTGTATGTATTTCATTAGAATGATTCAGATTGATATTAACTGAACATATTGGAAGTATTTATCATTGTAAAAAAAGTATCAGTATATGAATAGAGAACTGTATATATTTGCATAATTTAAAATACTTATAGAATAAATTATGGATTATAATGTCTGTAAGATGTCATGAGTAACAGAATATTAATTAAAATGCTATAAAGTATTCCTAATAATTCATTCTATAAAATTAAGGCCTGTTTATAGTTTAATGGCAGCATGGCACTGCAGCAGTTTATGAGTTTTGTTAAGTTTGTTACATTACTACTTTGCTAGATGTCAAACTTTAAAACACTTGATGTTTGATGCTACATTTCTCATTTGTATATATTCTTAGTTTTGTTAAATATGTTGGTCTTTTCTTTTTGCCAGTTGTCAAGTATTATGTACATAAAGTATTAAACTATTATTTAATTGTCAAGTACTAACTGTAAACTAATTTAAGAAGAAAAATCAAGTAAAATAATTACTTTATTGTTTCTACTTTTTTAGTAGAAATAATAAAGTAATTATTTTACTTAATTTTGATCAACTTTGATCATTGCTACTATTTAGACACATTTCAGATCTGATCTTATCTTAATTTATTCACTTTTTTTACTTTGTCTTTGTAATAAAATCATATTGCAACAAAACATTTTGATATTTATTAATTTGAGATGGAAAATTCTCTACTAAATATTCATTTGATTGATCCACATCTAACTTACTGGTTTGGGCAATGAATGGTAAGATAGCTAAGAACAGTTAAACAATATTCAAGTTTGACGTGATGTTTTGCCATGTTACATTCGTCTATGTTTGAATATAACAGTCATACTGACTCATCAACTCCATCAATGATAACAATCTTGATACTGCATGCTGCTGTTGGGCTATAAATTAATCTTTATTATCATAACTGAATTACTTTAAAAAATACTACATTTATATTAAAATTATCTTTTATAAAATGTAAAAGATTAATTGTACAAACTTATAAACATATTTTGGAAGTTAAAATCATTTGATAAATTTTTCATTTATATTCTTTCATGATATTTTAAACTGAAAGATATGCTCGCATCAACTTTTTTCGAATTAATTATGTTATTCGATATGATTTTGTCTAAATTGTCTCTAAAATTCAGTTTTCTGTTAGCTTGATCCTGATGATCATTTGAATTAGATTTACTAAGTAAAATTTATTAAATAGAGTTAATTTATGTTAAGTCAACAACAGTTGTCATTTAAGCAATTAGATTTTTTAAGGAAATTTTTTGCTTATTTTAGTTATGATCATAAATCTTTGATAATGTGATAAATCACATTAAATATTTTTATATTAATGTACTTTATAACAACACCAAACGATCGCCTAATTATCGGACTATAATTGTCAAATTACTTAGTTCCAATCATTTAAAATAGCCATATTATAGCCCGATAATTAGGTGATCGTTTGGTGTTGTTATTATCTACTCGGGCTGTGAGTTGATGTTTATATATAATGTACTTTACTTTAATCTGTGTTTTTTGTTTTTATAAATTTTCATTTTTTTTTATCAGGAAATTTTATGTTAATGCATGCAATTATTAAGTTACATAATTTTTGTTTAGTTTTTTTCTTTGCTAATTATACAAGCAAATTTTGGTTAATAATGTCAATTAAATATTTAAGTTAGCTTTTAACTTATGTTTTGTATTATTTTATTTTAAAATATTTTTTAAATTATAAAATGCATGATTTTTGATTAGTTTGTTCAGTAGTCAGTCTTTTCAACTTCACGAAATTGATGACGATGATGATGATGCAAACTTAGTTTTAGAAGAGGACGATGAGCCTGATGAAATGCCAAACATTTTATCAAGGCATATATCTCTTGCTGGTATATTTAGGGAGTAAGTTTCTTTAGAAGTTTTTTTTAAATAGAGCCATGTAGATATAATTTATTCAACATTGCAGTTTCTTTAAATATAAAGAAATATTAAAACATATTCTAATATAGTCAATTAATTTTTATTTTAGTTTTTAAATATTAAAAATTGGTCTTTGATTTGCTTATTTTAGCCACAGTTCTTTGGTACAAGATAGCGACGAGGATAAACCTTTTCGGAAAAGAAGAAAGCGCGGAAGTCTCTTTTTTAGGAAAAAAAGAGTAAGTGCATTTATAAAAAGAGTAAATTACATAATCGTTAGTAAAATTATAATTTTACTAACGATTATTAAAAATACAAATGATGTTGAAAGCACAGATTAATAAGTCAATAAGGTTAAAGTTATCTTTTGTAGTTCTGATAAAAAAAAATGAATGAGGTAATATATTCTTCAACAGAAAATTATGAAAATTGTTCTTTGCTGTATTTTGTAGTGAGCACGTGGTGATAGATGAATTCTCACAAAGAGACAAGAATATAAAACAATAAGACGTGCTTTATTTTACTGTATGAACATATATACAGGAAAGGTTCGTTGATTCCGACCTCCTTGTTCCTCACTTTAATTAAACAAAAGGGAACAAACAACACCGACTTTTAATTTACAGCGGAGCTAAACTCTTCTTTCGCGTAACAAAGGAGACACTTAATCACTAACTTAAAACTACTTATAACTAGAAGAGGAAAGGAAGGACAGGAATTAGAATAGAATGGGAGAATAAAAATGGAAATTCCTAGTAAGGAACGGGTACCCGAATGGTTGACTGAGGTGGTGGCCACAAGATGATTTCGTCTTGGAATTCTTTTCTTCTATGGGGACGGAGCACATGCGAGGACCCAAAATTCGTTCTTAAATCTCGGCTTTTCCAATGTTCTTTTTCTCTTCCAATGCTATTTCTATCTTTAGTGTTCTTCGTAACCCTTCCGGCCGAAGCAACACCGAACTCGAGACCGCTCTCTCCGACGGTCTTTCCTCCTCCGGTCCAAAGCCAAAAGTGTCCTTATCGTCCCCCACTTGCCCTCTGGGCTATCTTCACTCCTTTGTCCCGAAATTGGGTCACTGACCACCCACATTCAGACGAAAGTTCCAGAAAGTATAGAAACAGAACAAAGAGAAAGGGGAATAGAATATTCTTATATATACATATATAAAATAAAAACAACAAAAATATACTGGTGTACCACCACAATTTTAATATTTTTCAATCATTTGCACTTTTTATAATTGTTAATATTAATACAGTAGACTCTCCCACATCTGGCCCTCCTATATCTGGATTCTTCCTTATCCAAACTGATCAGAGGCAACAAAAGTTTTTGACAATATTGTACAGTGCTTCAAATCTTACTTTTCCATTCTACAGTGTGTACATTTTCTAATTATTTTTTATTAATGTTGCCTTGAAGTTTGTAGAAGAGTACACTGTATGAACTATCACTAAATGTCAAAAATACTTGCATGTATTTAATTCATGAAAATCGCTTCTATGTAAGCTGAAACTAATTTAACTTGAACACCTTAAATACTCTTTTCAGCAAGACTTAATTCATTAAGTAAATAAATTTAATGTCAAAAGACACTACATTTTCTTCCTTATGTCAAAATAAACTTTTTGATGAGACTATGTGTCTTCTCTAAAATTGCGCTGCTGTCAACGGCTGGACACCTTAGAGGTACGAAGGAGTACATGTCAGGAGTTGCAATTTGGCACAGAGTATTTGGTGCCCAAATCATGTGCACATAAAAAAACCAGACTTGTAAGTAGTCAGGGGACTGAGAACCGGATCAAAATAAAATACAAAATGGTGAGACTGTCTCTACAAACAGGTGCGAATGCGAGATTTGCGCATGCATTGCTTGCACTCTCTGAGATATAGTCTCGTCGCAAGAATGGCTTTGCTATTTTACTTGTTGTATACATACATTAGGCATATAAATTACAGTCTTATAAATAAGACTGTAACTTATATGCACACTCTTCTATCCAGATTTTTCTAATATCTGAATCATCCCACCTGCATTAGTTTGGATATGGGCATATACTGTATAAGTTTAAATTTGTTAATAAATACAATCGGTTTATTAATCACTCATTATAAATATAAATGAATACAAATTTACTATAAACATGATATAAGAACAAATAAAGTACTCAGTATGTATACACATTAGCTATTTTACTACACTTTACCAACCTTTAACATGCAGTGTATTTTATTAACATAATCTAACATTTTGTTGAGAAAACTTTTAAAGTTAAAAACCTTCTATAATCGGTTTTGTTCGTCATAAATCGAAAAAGTTGTTTGATCTTGATAAAAGTTAGTTCATTTGATTGAAAACGTTAGATTACGTTAATAAAATAGACTGCATGTTAAAGGTTGGTAAAGTGTAGTTATTTTTGAAAGTGCAGTTCAAGAAGAGTATTAGTTATTTTACAATATATCCATTTTATGTTAAGTTATAAAGCTCTTTTACATTTATTTTTAATTTTAAATATTTTTATATGCTATAGCAGAAATGTGTTAAAAATTAACAGTTTTAAACATTTATAAAAGTTATAAAATTATTTAGACCAATGGAAAACACACAAATATACCAAAATAAGTAAAAGGAATAAAATTATCTAATGATACAAACATTTTTGTTCTATCATTAGATAGCTCAATTATCTAGTTAGCCAACAGTATAGAATTTCTTCAAAAAAGATTTTCTTTAAATAAATTTTAGACTCACTTTAAGTTATTAATGATTATTAAAGAATATTTATCCCACAGATAATACATTAATTTCTTCTTTTCCAAATTGTTTCTATAATAATTAATATCAATGCTTATTGATGCTTGCCTTGCTAAATGTCTTTATTTCACAAGTTGCCATCTAATAAGGACACTGGAGGCTCTTGAAATATTCAGATCAAAAAAAAGAGTGGCCGTTGCATTAATTTCAAAGAGGAAGGACAATTATCTTATGCCTAGCAATCCTTATACAAAAGGAAACAGTCAATTTAAAAAATTATTTTGAAGAGATTTAAATTTGATTTAATCAATTTAAATTATTTTAAAAAATTCTTGTTTATACATTTTTTTCAAATAATTCTTAAAAACATTCCATTTCCACATTCCAATTTGGAAAATCTTGAGGAAGATCTCGTGTGAAGATTGAAAATGTTAGAATTTACAATAGAATATCTTGGAATTTTTTTAAGGTTCAGTTGGTTGCTATTTCTATGATATATTCTAGGCTTGTAGAGTTTGTGCCATCTCATAGTCATAGATGCATTTTGGGATAATTTATTCCCTCTTCAGTATAGTTTATTTTCCAATATTCTATAGTTTTTTAACATGAAATCTTTGCAATAAAGCAATCATAAAATCTTTTTTCCTACCAATAACACTTTTTCTGCACTCATATCCCTATTTTTAAATGAAATTTTTTAAGTCCTGTCCTTTACACTTTTGTTGTCATAAAGTTACTGGATTGTATCTAATCTTATTATATGGCAATTTGTGAAATAAAGAAGTACAAAGAAAGAAGAGGTAAGTGTTGATAATGACTAATATTAATTATTATAGAAAAAAATTGGAAGATAAGATTTCAATCAAATCCATCTAATAAACAAAGTGATAATTACAAATACATTAGTGTAAAGTATTTGTAATTTTTTCAACTTATTGTATGAGTTTTGAAGAATTGTGAATGTATAGAATTTAAATTTATGCTTTCATTTAGTATAAGAGAATTCTTACATATACTTAGATATACTTCACATTTCTTTCAGCTTACATATGCTTTTTAATTATAATACTTAAAAAGTATAGAAGAAAATACAGTAAAAACAATTTTTTACAAAGAGTGGATTCCCCATCCATTTTTATCCACCTTAACTTAATGAAAGCATAAAATAATAAAAGTCAATTATCATTTAAATGATGATTATTTTTTCAGTTATAATTAGATTACACAATTGAAGAGCTTATTTTCAAAGTGAGGTATCTCCATTATTTTTTTTTTTTTTAGTTTATGGCACTAACACATTGATAATATGCTTCTCTATAGTGCTACAATATTTTTTTCCAAAACAGATGTTTCTTCTGTTGAAAAATGTATCAAAAAATTGGTTTTCTTTTCAAATGTGATGTTTTTTTTGTTTTGTATTTATTTCCAAACTGTCACATTTCCATAACAGCCAATTACAAAGTGTATATTGGTCACATGACTATTTCACAGTAATGACTGCTTTCTGAAGTGCAAGTGCTATAGTGTTTGATTGTTTTCTTAATTTTTTGTTAATAATGACCACATTTTTGAAGAAGTTCAAAAAGTATTTAGTCAATTTGCTAGAAAGAGGCTGAGTCCTTATTTTGTAGAAACTTTTGTAAGTAAAATCCAAAAATCAAGAAAATTCATTTGTTTTGTGATGGATGCAGTGCTCAAAACAAATATTACACATTATTAGAAATACTAAGTAAACTTTCAAATATGTATAGTGTAATTTTTGAGATTACATATTCGGTGCAGGGTCACAGTTATTTACCCATAGATAGGGCCTTTGGAAGGGTGGAAAAAATGTTAAGAAAAATTGAACTGCTTCTTTTATCAGAAGACTACAATAAAATTTTTGAGCATATAGGACAAATACATGTTCTTTGTAAAGAAGACAACTTGGTAATTGGAAACTTGCAATTTATTCAAACATTAAGTCAAAAATGGATTTTAATGTATCTGAAATGAAAGTAATCAGAATAAACTCTAAATAGGTTTGTTGCAAAAAGCACTATTCTGATAGATTGGGGATGTGCAAACATACGATGTTAAAAACAGGTAAAAAATGGTCATATCTATTAGTTGCTTTGTTACCATTGGAGAATAAACTTAAGTTGGACAAGGTAGATAATGTGAAGAAACTTTTAAATAAAATGGGAATAAGTTATGGGCATACTGCAATGACATTTTACAAAAAGTGTTTTCTTGTTTAGAAAGTAATTGATTCTAAACGGGTACTGTGACAGAACAATTACAATATGATTTTTATTAATTTTATGTAATCAGTTAATTAAGTTTTTTTTCTTTTGGAATTAGTATAGCTTTTTAAACATTGTTTTTTATTATTTTCAGTCATGAACAGGGTTCGTGTGATTTTCATTTTTGTTTTGTATCTTATTTTTTATATATCAAAAATTTTTGACAATCTATTTGTTGTTTTATTACATTATCCATTTAAATGCTGCAATTTTGTTTCAAAGTGGTCTAAGTCTATGATTTGAAGTAGCAAAACTAACATTTCCTTTGCCTCAGGATTTTTTTTACTGTTAAACCTATATTCAGAATATAAATATAAAGCTCTGTACCAATAATTAAGTTTTTACCTTAACATTTAAAGCAATTATTTAAAATTTGCATTTTTGGAAATTTGTATTTTCTGGATATATGTCACTTTGGAAATAAGCTCTTCAATTTCTTTATTGTTTATCAAATGTATTTTGACCAAATATTAAGGTAAAATATTTTTATTTATATTTATTAAATAAGAGGAAAATTATAATTTAAATTCAACAGGGTAAAGATAAGGAGAAAGAAACGAAAAAAACTCCACATCAATTTGTATCAATCTGTTATAGTACAGCTGCCGTATGTGATGTTTGTAACAAACAATTAGCTAATAAAAATGCCTTGAGATGCGAAAGTAAGTTTGATTAATGACTGTTATTTTATATTTTAAGTAAAAGAATTAAAATGATGATAAATTTACTATTTAAGAAATACAGTCGATTCTGCTTAATTTGAACACATTGGGACTAATCCATTTTGACCCAATTAAGCAACTGCCCCAATTAAACGAACTAATAATAAATTCTATAATAAAATATGTAATATGTAGGTAAAAAATAATAATTAGGTACCTATTTTAATGCTTTATTAAACCAAAATACAGAAAATATTTGTACTATAAATTTACCAGACTCACGATGATAGATAATTGATTTGCATAATGCTAGTGTTGCCAAATATTAGTAGTGATGTACACAAGGGTTGACCATTCGATCTGTTCCTGATCAAACAATTTTTTTTAGTTAGAACATGTTCTAACTAAAAAGGATGAAAGAAAAGGGTTTGTCCAAAAGTCATTTTACGGTCTTCCTTTGAGCACAGTTTCCTTCACTTGGAGATGGGCCACTTCGGCGGGAGTGTCTGTAGAATTCACCAGCTCGATGCTAGTCTCAACAATCAGATGACTGCTGTCTGAATCTAGACATAATTATGCACACAATACATTCCAAGGGAACTCTAGCTGTCTTCCAACTCAGTTGAGAGACCTCAAAAAATTCTCCAGCAATCTGTGTCCCTTCGCTTTTAAGTGGATTGTCTGGTCTAGTCCAGAGCAGGGTAACATGCATTCAGTTCCACCTCAGACGAAATCCTCATGTGATATATCCCTCTATGCTGACCTCCCTTCGGAAAAATTGAACTACCCGAGCAAAAGACAAAATCACTTCTCTCTGCCAATCATTAGACCTACATGACATGTACGTAGTGCCTACACGTTTTTGGAAGATTACTAAAATATATAAAAAATTGCTAAATTCCTTTTCTGCTACTGTCCCAATTAAGTGAAAAGTTGTCCCAATTAAGCGATTAAATTATGTATTAATTTATTAGTTGGTTTCCATTCTTTGAGATTTGGCCCAATAAAGCGGCTACCCCCATTAACTGGTGGCCCAATTAAACGGAATCGATTGTATATGTATGTATGTATATATATATATATATATATATGTATGTATATATATATATATATATATACCAGCTTTCACAAGTTTATATCATAGGCAGATTCTTTCAGGTTTTTACTATATGTACTTACGCAATATTATCCGTACATNAATCCTCATGTGATATATCCCTCTATGCTGACCTCCCTTCGGAAAAATTGAACTACCCGAGCAAAAGACAAAATCACTTCTCTCTGCCAATCATTAGACCTACATGACATGTACGTAGTGCCTACACGTTTTTGGAAGATTACTAAAATATATAAAAAATTGCTAAATTCCTTTTCTGCTACTGTCCCAATTAAGTGAAAAGTTGTCCCAATTAAGCGATTAAATTATGTATTAATTTATTAGTTGGTTTCCATTCTTTGAGATTTGGCCCAATAAAGCGGCTACCCCCATTAACTGGTGGCCCAATTAAACGGAATCGATTGTAGCACTTTCAAGTTATTTTAATACTAGATAAAATTAATAATAAATCTGAAGTTTTGAGTAATAAATAATTTTGATTAGAAATTTTTGTTAGCTGAATTTTTAATAATTAAAAAAATTTACTGTAGTAAATTTATAATATATAAATAAATAAGTCTAATGTGAACAGTTCTTTTTAATGAATTAGACCAGTTGTATTGTTTGTTTTTAAATATATGGTCCAACCTTGATAAGCTGCCTCCGTCAGTTTGGCAATGTTTTTGGCAGATAAAAGAGACTAACAGTTAGCAAAAACAGTCTGATAGTCCTTTATACAACATTGGCAAGTAAATGATTACTGATATTCGTGTAATATTAACAATAGTGTGATCTGTTAAAAAAGTATAAGTTTTATTAAATTTATCACATAACAAATTTTACGAATTTTATAAAATTATGAATAAACTGGAAAAAATTTATCAGAAATTAATATTTTCTGTTATAAAATTAAAATTATTAAAAATGTAAATTCAAAAAGGATAAACAGCACAGTATAAATTATATTCATTAACATTTATTTCAAATTGAATATATAATGGATTTATATATTCAATTTGTATATATAATGGTGAGGGGTTTGAAAAGAATTAAAATATGCAATATTGGTATTGTATAAACAAATTTATTAATATTAGATGATTTTACTCAAATTTATAATTTTCCCTAACTGATATAACATTTTTAAAGTTTCAGAATGTTTTAAAATTTAAATGCATCAATTGATTATACATCTATAAAACTTAAATTCTGATGTTTTGGTCTACTTTAGAAATCATCATCACGAATAACTGATTATGTAATTATTGTATTTTTTGATAATTAACAAGATGATGGCACAAACTGGCAAGGGAGAGTTGCCTCCCCTGTAATTCTCCACGGGAATTTTTCAGAAATAGGTGAGATTCCTGCAGTCTCCTCGAAATTTAGCTCCTGTTAATTTTTAAGTTGATTTCACTTCATGCATATCATAACTTACATATTGTGTATCTGTATGTATGAAAATGTATGTAGGCATACATCAAAAATATGTAAACTTTTGACAATTTTAATGTTGAATTTAGAAATTTGATAGCACTGTGTATGGCATATATTTAAAAACAAAAATAATGTTGATAGGACTTTGTCTATCAATACAGTTGGTGGATGTCATATTAATTGAGGTTCCCTATGCTTTACATTTGGGAAAGATCTGTTCTGTTACATTTTTTGGCAGTCAATGAGGGTGATGCATTATCGGCGTGATTTATCGAGGGTTGACCGTATATATGTAATATGTACATTTATTTGTATAATAAACACATAGATTCTTTGTATATTTGCATTTATAAAAATTTTAAATATAAATTAATTTATACAGTATACACATGCATATAAATCAATATTTACATTTTATTTCTAAATTAATATATTCATACAATTATTAATTGTATTGTAGAAAAATACATGAAAATTTAATTTTTCTTTCTTTTCTGATTTATGGAGGGTAGATAACTTCAAAATTCTTGTCAAAACATTGTTAAATCCCCTATGGAAATACATCAATCGAGAAAAGTTTAACAATGTAATAAAGTGTTTTTCTCTGCAAAGTGGGTTTGCTTTTACCTTTTTTAACTTTAATTTTTAATTCATTATTGAAATAATGTTTTAGAATTTTGAAGTTATCTACCTTCCGTATGTCAGAAAGGAAAGAAAAATTGAATTTTCATGTATTTTTCTACAATACAATTAAGTAAGAATTGGATAAATAATCTGACTCCATTGTTTTAAATACTTATTTTTAATATATTCATATTTTTGTTTTTTAAGATTGCCTCGTTACAGTTCATGAAAGTTCCTGTAAGGATCAGATTCTTGACTGCAGCAAATTTAAAAGTCCAAAAGTAAATCTACTTTTAATTGATTTGTGTTTATATAAATAATTGTATAAATAATTTTTATAAATAATTATTAAAGTAAATTGATTATAAATTAAATATGAAAAATTGAATAAAAGTATAATTTTTAGATTTATGAAGTTATACAAGGTGATCAAATGAAAGGAGACTTTGTAGAGTTTGGCAATGCTAAGAGTCAGATTTAGTGACACTGTGAGCCTGCAATAAAACAAACATGGCTGGCTGGGACCATTGTCAAGTCTGACTTTTAGTATCACCTCACAGTACTTCTTGCAAGATATACTTTAATTTGATCCCTGGTATAAAACAAAATAATATTTTATTGTATTCATTTATTTATTAAACTTTTTCTTTTTTGTAGTAATTTTTCTTTAATAAGAAATAATTACAGAGATTAAATAGAATTGTATTTTCTCTTAAATTATTGATCAGTTAATAAGATTAATGATGATGAAGCATCAGTTTAATTTTAGAAAATAACTTTGATAGTTCTGCATTTTTAATTTTAATACTTATTGTTAAATTTTTTGACAGTTACCTCCCAAAAATAATTCTTTATCTCTGTCAAAAGATCAATTAAATACAAAATTACAAGTTTCACATGGTAAATATTTTCTTTTTATTTAAACTTATCTCTTTCAATTAAAGCATGTTTTGCCTTTTTTTAATACCTTATTGTTGAAGAATAGAATTTGTTATTGTCTGCTATGGTTCTAATTCAAAGCTAATGGTGATTGTGTCTGTGTGTTAAATGCTTTTGTCATGTTGCATGTTCACAGGTCGCATTCCTTATTATCCTTGTCGTTATCAACATCTTTTAGGATCACTTAATCCAACCGTAACTAACTTAGGTGTGTATTTGTTTTGCTTCGGATATTATTTATGTGGGCTTTGTCTTAGTTTATTTCTTTTTTATTATTTTTTTGAAATATTTATTTTAAAAATTAGTTTAATTACAAAAATTAATATATAATTCAGGGAATAATAAACATCATTCAAGCAGCCTGAGTAGTAAAGAAAAGAAACAAGGATTGATATCTGTAAATAAATTTCAATCACAACCAAATGCAGGAAACAGCGTAAGTGATCACTTAAATTCATATATATTAACTATATACCTATAATTTACTTTTTAATATTTATAATCTAAAAGTTTTTAAAGTTATCTTAATTACTTTTAATATTTTTATCTTCAAATATGAATGAAAGGATGTGAATTTTTTATCAAATTAGTCTTACTTATAAAGTTATCAGATTGTATTTGTGAGACAGTGTTTTGTTTCAGTTTTAACTCTACTCTGTGGGCATTAAGAGGGTATAAATATAATAAGTGTGGAAGTAAAGATTGGCATCCCAATAGATAAATGAATTCAATAAATACACATGTCATAGACTGTGTTAAGGTGGCAATTGCATAAGGAAATCACCCTAGTCCTAACTTTGCAGTTTTAAAACTAACTTTTTATAATCCTTGGCCAGCGATACCAAAAAGTGGTATAATAAACAACAGTAGAGAGTGGAGAAAGAACTTGGAAACAAAACCATATCTTATATCACTCCAGTAAGCAAAAATTTAATGAGCCAAAAATGTTTTTAATCCATTTTAATGAATTGGTCTTTTTTTCTACATTTCATTGTGGGTCTAGCTTGAACCCACAATGGAGGCATCTAAGGGTGAGGAATGAAATCAAACACATCTGCATTAGAACAGCCAAGACAATTTTCTGAGATTTCCAACTCAGATTTGAACTCTGGCGTTCATCAGCTGACATCATCAGCTTGATCATTTAGCCACCATAAAAAGATTAAGTTGTACAATTATAAAACAGAGTCTATAACAGCATATAGGATTAATATATTATCTTCAGGTTCCAAGATAAAATGATGATGTTTTTTTTTATGGCTATCTTTTTCATTTTATAAGAATGAGAAAGTTTTATGCACTTAAAATTTTGCAATTTAAAAATTATGAAAATTTAAAATTGTACAAATCTTGAGTTAGAATGTTGTTTTAATTGTTTTTTCCCTGCATGTAAAATTAAAGTATTTAATAATGATTATAAATATGGTTGGTAAAATTTAGATTTTGCTAATATTATTTGAACTCTCTTTTATCAAAGCAATCTAATTGCTTTATTTATATATGTTTTAATTCTATTATGTATTAATTAAAATTTATTTTTAAATTACTGTAAATTCATCTATTTAATTACAGAATTCTCCAACACTGGAAACATCTGGTAAAATTGTAATAAATTCAACAAGGTAAGTATCATAAAGTAAACAGATTCTAATAATTTTATTACGTTATAAACTTTTCTTTTGGGAATACAAATTTTTTTTACTTATTCTCAATCATTACATCGAAATATAAGTATCAGTAATTAGTTTATTAAAACTACATCAAACTATTTTAATTAATAATGTAAACTCTGTTCATCACTACTAAGTTCATTATTCATTTACTTAATTTTATTATATAAAATGAAATATAAAAGATTTTTCTAAATGATACAGGGTGATTAATTGAAATTCTCTATGCTCTAAATAAATTAAAACTAAATAGCAACCAGATTAAAATAAAAACAGAATTGTTTCTTATTAAATAAAATAAAGTAGTAAGGCAGTTGTTAGATTGAACATTAGTCAGTATATTGAATAAATTAAAATATGTATAATGACTTTTTTGGATAGATATAAAATTACTCATTTTTATTTGATTACATAAAAATTCAATATATCATTTTACCTTTAAAGCATTATATATAAAGACATCAGAAATTCATTGCTAGTAATGCTATTTATATACTGGCAATGAGAGAATTAAAATCCACATCTTCAATTTTTATTGAAAGTGATGTCAAAAAATAACTATTGTTTTGTGTGTTGTGATAATATTTATAATGTAAATAATTAATTATATTACATTTGATTATTTAAAAATTATTTAAAAAAAATTTTGAATCAAAAAAGTAGGAATACAAAATTTACTACTTAAAATATAACAGGAAGAAAAATTCTAAATTACAGTTGTTTTCGTATTATATTTACTTTGTTAATAAGTAATACTATAAAAATGTATGAATTTTATTTAATGTTATAAATTTGAGTTTGTTACTTTTATTTTTTAATTGTGAAATAAATATATATTTTATATTTAAATTTTGAAAATAGATCATATTAATTTAAACATTGTTCTTGCTGTTGTTACTTTTGAACGTTTTTTAAACAATCAGTTTTTAGAAGTCATAGATTTCTTTGATTGTTTACACAATATAAGTATTTAGATTACAGTTTTGTCAAAGAAAGTTTTCATTTTAATAGAGATAAGTTTGAGTTTATCATATTACATAACAACTTGGCAAATTACATTATTAATCTGAAGTGTACAGTGGGTGATTGGTTAAGGAACATAATCTATTCCAAGACTGTGTTCACTACTCAAATTGTTCATTAACTGATTATCAATTTACCATAGATTTTTATGGAAATTTGATTAATTCGTTCTGGAGACACTCCAAAAAAAAAAAATAAATAAAAAATGATATACTTTCTTACTACATTTATTTATATATAATAATAAAAATACATATATACACAGTCTTGCATTTTTATCAGTCATTTTTTTTTTTGTGGGATGTTAAAGAATCTGTCCAATGTCAATTGCTTTTCTCTCTTCTTCAGGATTTTTTGGAAGCAATTAATAGCATTGTCATTGTAGAGATCACTAAGCCTATTAACTTCAGTTTGGTTTGGATGCCATTCTAAGACCATTTTTCTGGCATCCTCTCATTTCAAAAGATCTTTAACAGTAGATGGTGGCATTGATTTTCTTTCACCTTCCTCTTTTTCAGAAGAAAGCACATCTCACTCAGTTTCTTTGGGTTTGCATTCTTCATTCAAGAGTTCTTGGAGTTCTGTCGTCAGATCAGTTTCAGATTCCATTATGAGCTCTTCAATGTCATGTTTACTCACTTCCAATTCCAGATTTCTAGCAGTTGTTACAATTTCATCCATAATTTCAGGGACGTCATCTCTGTCTCCCTGAATGCAGGAGGGATACAGCTTTTGCCAAGCAGAATTTAACTGTCATTGAGTGATTTCTGACCATGCCTTTTGAATGAGCCATATAGCTTCAAGAATATCAAACTATTCTTTTCAAAACGTTTTTAATATCATCGAGGAGAACTGATATGCTTCAAAACACCAATGAAACAGTGCTAGAATGTACAATTTCTTGAAACCTGCAATAACCTCTTGATCTATTGGTTGGATCAACAAAGTGGTATTTGGAGGCAGAAACTGAACTGTCAGCCAGGAAAAATCTTCCAGCCAATTATCTTCAAGGTCTTTTGGGTGTCTTGGTGTATTGTCCAATAGCAACAGTGCTTTTAATGGCAATTCATTGGTCTGAAGGTAATCCTTGATGCTTGGAGCACAAACTTCAAACAGCCAATCTTTGAAAAGAACCTGTGTGATCCATGCCCTTTTATTCGATCTCCACATCACTGGCAAAAGTCTTTCTTTAATTATGGAATTTTTTTTTAATGCTCTAGGGTTCTCAGAGTGATAGACAAGAAGCGGGATAAGCTTCATATCACCACTACCATTAGTTCCCAAAAGTAATGTCAATCTGTCTTTCATGTGTTTATGCCCAGGAATATTTTTTTGTCTTTTGTGATGTAGGTATGGTTCAGCATGCGCTTCTTTCAAAATAAACCAGTTTCATCACAATTGAAAATTTTAACAAATTCTTCAAATTTGAGACAGAACTCAGCTTCTTCTTTATCTGCACTAGCAGACTCACAGTGAATTACCACATGTTTAATGCCAGATTTCCTTCTAAACTTTGCAAGCCAGCCAGTGGTAGCCTTGAATTCTATCTCCTTATGTGATGAATGTAGAGTTTGTTTCTTCAGTTCTTCAAAAATTTCTCTAGCTTTCTCTTGAATGATAGTCAAACTAGTTACATCTGTTCATTTCCCTGTCTTTTATCCAAATTAAAAGCAATCTCTCTATTTTTTCATGGATGGCACATCTTTGTTTCTCAGATGTGATTTTCGTTATTCCTTTAGCTGCTTGAGTCTTCTTGATTATATCTTTCTTAGCTAAGATTGTGCCTTTTGTAGACCTGTTCAAGCCATACTGCCTAGCAACATCTGACATCTTCTGCCCACTTGGCTATTAAACTCTCACCTTTAGAAAATAAAAACTGATGCAAAACTTAACGAGTGCCCAACAGTCTCGCAAAGACTACAAAAAATTATTTGTCAGAAAGGTAAACAGAAAGCTGGAATTACAATGGAGAGTTTAAAAGTTTGGAAGAATACTATCCAATCAGTATCTGGTTGTGTGTCGATGTCAACGTCTACTGCGCTTTGAAAGGTTTTGAATTGTCACCTGGAGACAAAGGATAACCAATCGGTATTCATTATTTTACATAGCTTATTTTTGTGTTTGTTCTGTGAATTGTTCATTTCCGAATGTGTTCATTGATCAAACAAAAATATTTTGTGAAAGTGTTCATTGTCTGATTTGTTCACAGTTCGAACTGTTTGTTAATTGATTACCCACTATATTTTATTAAAATATAAAAAAATAAAAATGCATTTTGTAAACAAATTGTGAAAAACTGATAGATGTGTTTTGTGTTTTTACTTTCCTGGCTATTATATATAACAGAGGGAAAGTATGGTAGTCAGTCAAAAAATGACCCCCCCAAGATGTTTTCCTCAAATTAATATTAGGTATATAATTTTGAGAATTAATGTAAATAGAGATTATTGGATTTCACTTCAATTTGGTTAGACAATCAGCCCTACTTACACTGCATAATTATGAAAAATTCATCAATTCTGGTAATTCTATGAATATAAATTTAAATAATCAACATTATTTTTTTACTGAATCTGCAGTGTAGCTTCTCTGTTAATAATTATAATGCTTGAAATTAGTTTAATGAACCTAACATTAAAATTATGGAATACTTTTTTATTCATGTGAATACAAATTATGCAAAAACTGGGATTATTTTATAAAATGTAAAAAAAAGTAAATACTTTGTGACCATATAATATATTTATGATTACTATCTTTATATTAATACTTTTAAAAAATTATAATTACATATATTTACAGTATAAAATATATAATTATAATATATATTTAATAAAATACTATTATTCATTTCTTTTACAAAAAACATAGTGATTTCTCTAGAGATCAACAAAGCTTTAATACAGTTCTCTAAAAGAGTGCTATTATTTATAATTTTGTAATTATGTTAATTATTATCCAAGAACTTTGTAATATACATTAACCATTGAAAACTGTCCAAGTTTTACATTTGCCCATTACAATTTCTCAATATGTACAGTACACTTTGTATCATGTGGCACACATTCGACCTATATTCAAATTTTTCCTATGCTTACTATGGCATATCTGTTATCATTGCTCTATGGCAAACAAAATTCTGCAGCTTCTGCAGATTACATGTGTTGCACAATACAAGTGATTCCAACTTTGCAAATCACAGGGAACAAAATGCTTTCTCTGTTGCAGAGTCTCTATTTTTGTGAGATCAGCCAGGACGTAAAGTAGGTTACGCCACTTACAGGCACGCGATCGTGAGATCGGTTCTCTTACTTTTTATAGGAAGGCGTTAATCGCTAGTAGATCTGAACTGTAAAGTCCAGATGCTCGTCAGGGCTGACACCAGTTAATCAATCTTATTATACGCGGATTAACACGCGTACGAGATCTGATTCGGATACAAAATTAAGAGGCATTTTAATTATAAAACAAACAAAAGTAAATTTAATGTTTCTATAAGTAAAACTAATACAAATATCGAGGAACGAGGGATAATAATACGACAATTAAGATACACTATATATGCATGGACTTATACTATACCGATGCGCGATTGAGAGAGAGAGCTCACAAAATCGTTATAAAACATACAACCTGTTTTAGTTGTTGTTCGTCTTCTTCTCTGTAGGCAAGGGACACTTTGGAGATAAGGTTCATTTACTTCCTTCCATGGGAGATCAATATGTGCACAAAATCCAAGTATATTTTCTAAGTGCTAACTCTGGAATTATTCTGTATGTGACTCGTCTAAGGACGTTGGTCATCAGAAGGAAAATGTATGGAGTTCGGACACTCTCTATGTCTGTCGATGAACTCCCCGAATTCTGACAAATTTCCCCTGTATCTCAGGATTTTCGACCAATCATCGGCCAGTAACTCTTTCATGAGAACGGATGAAAGGGGAATGAATGAGGGGTAAACATTTCCCATCTGAGCGGGATTTTAACCAGATAAGGGAAAGTCAGAGGATGTTCTAACTTCTGTGAAAGGAAGTAACATCTGTTATCTGCCTTTTCCCACATTTAAAACATTATTTTCTCACCAAAAATGAAGTAATATTTGGTGACAATATTTAACATAATTAATAAATTATTAATTTAGACCCAGGGGCCTTACAGGTCTCACATTTTTGTTTATGGTACCTCCTAGAGGTAGTAGAAAACAAGACTTATGAATGAAGATGGTAGATGAAACTGATGATTACTTTATTGATTGACATACATTGCATACTTCTTGGATAATAATTAACATAATTACAATAATTTAAAATGGTAGTATTCGTTTTGGAAGACCCTGTATTATATTTTTAAACAAATGCACTTTTAATTTCAGTAAAATATTTGATTAATGTTTACAAAAGTCTTTTCAATTCTGTATAAAAATGTTGCAAATAGAATTAACAGTTACATTGAACCATCATTATATATAAATATATTTAATAAGATAATTAGTGATGATTTTTTATGATAAAATTTAGTAGATATCAGTAGTTAATGAACAGTGTTATTGTTGCATTATTTTAGTAGGCAATTTTTAAATTTAACTTTCACTTTCTGGCAGTGAATCGATTGGTAGTTATCGTCACGGCAAATTCGTTATGTTTCGTAACAAGTACCTTAACGCGGTACATTTTATTAGTAGATTACTATTATTTATTTGCATTTTATATCATATACCACAAATTGCATGATCAGAGCAATTTTGGTTCTATTTGCTGTCTTGTTTTCCCAGTGCACTGCGTAGACCTTACACTCCTAGTGGTTACTCCCAGTGGCGGCGGGTGGCCACAAAATTAGGGGTCAAGTAAGTGGGGTTTCTCTCTTTCTAAGCACAGTTCTCAAACAGTATTATACTTTTGATGCCTGAGGCATGTGCATGGCGTGTTTAGATTTTTATCACGTTTAATTATCATTTTGTTTTTTAGTTGCAATATAATTATTTAGATAATAACTGTAGACATATCAAATCATTTTAATTTATTTGCATGGTTGTTAAATGTTTGTTTACCATTTGTTTTAACTATGAAAGATTTTTGATTTAATACTTTTCGTGTAGCAAAGTTATTTCGGAAGAAAAAGAATGTGAACCGATTGAAGATACATGTTCTAGCAAGTGAGTTTTGATTTACATTTAAGAAAGTAGTATAAAAATAAAATGATTACAGTTCAATTTAAAATTCTATTTGACATGTTTTGTAGTATCACAGATGTTAATTCGGCTTCCATGGAATCTCTAGACGAAGGTGAATTGAAAAGTTATTAAATATTCATTATTTTTGAAATTTAATGAAATAGTTATATACAATGATTAAACTGTCTATTATTTAGGTGCGCAAGAAATCAGTGATTTAGATGATGATCCACAACATATAGTTATGGATGAAGAATCGGAGTCGTGGAGCACGACAATTGATAAAAAAGTAGGCATTACATAAAAATTAGTTAAGAAAAGAATTGTAATTAATATTTTTTGAATTTTTATAAATAAATTCAAAAGAACAATGAAACTTGGATCAGTATGTCTCATTTAATTATTTTTACAGGTTTTGAAAAAATTGAAAGATAAAGAAATCAAAAGGCAAGAAGGAATTCATGGTAAGAAAATAATTTAGTAATTTTTTGATGGATAATTAATATATCAAATTAATCATAATTAAAGTTTATATTTTTATTATCTTTAACTTAACAATATTTATTTTTCTAGAACTAATTCTTACAGAGAAAAACCATTGTATAACATTAAAGATAATGCAAAAGGTATTATTTTTGCTATAACAAATTATAATAGTTTTTTTGTAAAATTTTTATATAATAAAATTACTTTAAAACATTGTACTGTAAGATATTTTGACATTTTAGAAATTATATATCCATTTTTTCCTCTCTTCTCTGTTTTAAGAATAGTTTTCATTTTATTTCTAGGTCTTCTATCACTTATATAATCTTTTGCTTTCACAATTTAGAACTTTCAATACTGTAGATTTAGATTATCACATAGTTTCTATCTTACATACATTTAGCTTTATAGTTATGACTACTCCTGAATAACAGACATGATTCCTTCAGTGTCTGTAAGTCTACAGAAAGTCAGATAAAGAGTATTTTTAGAATTGTGAACAAAGTTAAAGATTGCTATTATATAAAACTATAATTACACAACATAAAATTGAAAATTTTAACAATGCTTTGCAATTGAAGTACTAAATACATAAGTTAATCTCTTTATTTGGAACTAAACATTCATACTGTATAAATTTTATTGTAAAGTTTGAATTGCATGTTGTGAGGCTCTGGACAGGATGTGAATCCCTAACTAAAATTCATTTAAAAAACATTTTGTGTAGAAAATAAAAGAAAAGAGAGAGAATGACAATCATAGAATTTGTGATTTTATTCCAATGGTCATAAAAACGGGTAGATTAGAGTGTCTCTTATTTTGATGAAATATTTTTTTGTCAAAATGTTTATGTTTACTCCCTGAATTTTTTTACATTTGGTCAAAATTACTCAAATATGAAGTTTCACCTCAATAGGATGACATTAACCCATGTTGACTTGAACGTGAAACTTGAATACGCGGAATGATTGACATGGAGGATATTAAGCAACAGTAAAAATCAATAACAAAGAAATATAACAGTTTATTAAGTTTTTGATGTAGTAGTTGTCTGTAACATTTAATTACAAGATTAGAAACTACTGTGCGTACTTTCTCTTCAATGTTTCTTGTTTTTGCAATCTGGATATAGCCTTTGATGGTCTTGCACAAAATACAGTCCAAACTCCTTTCATTCTTCGTCACAGTCAATAATCTGTGGTCTTACAATAATTTAACAGATCTTCCAGCAGAGTCATTTACAGCTCTTAACATGCTAACTATCCTTTGGGCTGCTAAATATGAAATGTTGTTTTTCCACATTGAAGGACATTCCTGGAAAAAACTTGTATCCATTTGTAGTCAAGAAAAGAATCCTCTTCTTTGAATTGATACAAAATCATAAAATCATCAATTTTTTTTTTAAATTGAGAAACAAATCAATGAGACAAGGTAAACAAAAAGTATGCTACTACAATTAAAAGAAATTAAACTTACCAAATAATTTGCTATCATTTCTTCATGCAAAGGAGTAAATTTTCTCCCCATACATTGATGTTCTCTGCCCAAATTAACCAACATTTTACTTTTGGTTTGAAGGTCAATGCATCATCAAAAAAGAGATAGAACAGCCAGTTCTTCAGATAAATACCACAAGTGTTGGCTTTGCTTCTTTAAAGCTGCTATAGAACTGGTTATAGGTATTCGATTTTGCCTGAAGACGACAGTTGTAAATTGTTGAAAGTACTAGCGAGTATATCTGAAATTTAACAAATCGCTGTCAATAACACTGCAACATGGAAGTGTCCTATTTTTAATTTCTAAACGCTGGCGTGAAGTGAACTATATTTTCATTCCTGGTTATATCTATCACTTCATATGATTTTAACAACTTGAAGCAGAGAACTTGATTAGGGGCTTTTGCATAGTTTAAGCCATAGTTTATCATAAACTGTTACAACAAACAGAGAAGAATGATGTAAAGCTTCATCTTCTCTAGTAGATAGTTTAAGTTCTGACCTTAGGAAAAGCATTTTTAGGGAATAAATTACTTTTGTTATCCACCAAACTTGATGCATAGCCTTCTTGCTTTTTTCCAAAAGATCATACACTCACAAACTACAAATTCACACTTTCACTTATAGTTAACCTCTTGTATGTTGTAAAATAAAATAGTTCACATTTGTCTATTTGATGGCAATTTCTGTTCAGTTCTCTATCAAAAACACACTATCCTTGAGATTGTGTAATTTGTACAATTTCATATCAGTGTAAAGGTGCACAAATACATGTAAGACGGCCGGAAAGTGAACACAAACTGACAGTGCTCCATTTATAATGACCAGTCCAGGCCTGAACGAAGCATGGCTCATCCAGATTTGTTTTTGACACATTGATGCTCAAGTTGGCATAAGTTAATATTCATTGATTGCCAAGAAATTAAATATGGATGTTTTTGAATGAAAGTAAAAAAAAAATGGGTGGGAGGCATTAAAAAATTTTGAAGTTGGAAAATAAGGGACACTCTAATATAGATGTTAACTTTTACGATTTGTCACACAATCTGAGACTCATCAAACCACCAATCAAACTGAAAATTGACTGAAAAGAACTCCAAAATGAAACCATTTTGGAGATCTTTTTAGTCAATGGAAAAAGTGAAGAGCATGGGGGCCACTGCATTGCTAAGATCAGACTTTTATAACCAAATTATAATCTATGAAATTTTGTAACTTATCTTCTTGTATTGAAATAAAACAGGTTTAACTGTAAATGAAATCCTTGTCTTAGCACTCACTCCACCCATAAATTCTATTCACACATTCTTGCTGTCCTGAATGACATTTCTTCATAACAAGAGGATGTTGACCATGCTACTCCAGATGATGTTGGGTCTATGATTAAACTTCATGGTTGGTCCTTACAATGTTGTCATTTTCATTGCTGATAGTTAATCAGCGTATTGGCCATTTTTATTCTGAACTAGATGGAAATGTCAAACAAGAGAAAAACAGCCACTCACCACACCATGATATAGTTAATCGCGTTCTCTGAACCGATTACGATGTGCAAATAAAGAAAACAAACAAAAACAAACATGAGAATGCCAAGCTGGTTAACATTTAAGATAGGCTAAAAATCAATCTGAAGAGACACTATCACAAAAAATTCCTGTGGATTCTACATTTTCAGTTTCCCAGGAGTCGCAAACACTTCTTCCCATTTATGGTCTGGTATGACTTAAGGCTACCAGACTTTGTAGTGGAAGTCCTGAAGTATGGACCTTCATTTGCACCACTTCCTCCTAAGACTGACACAAGGAACCTCATTCCTGATTTGGAAATCCTCTTGCAGGGCCTATCAGATAGGCAAAAAGAATACTATTGTTGGATGGCCATGTTCAGAATTGAGTAAACCAAGGAGTTTTCCAAAGTGTTGGAACTGAGGGACAAGCTATGTCGTTCACATCATGGTGTTGGACTTTAAGTCTCTCTACTCCTCTATCAAGCTTCCTCCTTCCTTTTTGCATTCAGGGACAACCTAATTCATATTGCAAAGATGACTACATTGGATGCAACTGAACAAAGTTACTCTTTCTGGTATTTTTGCAACTGTGCCAGTAATTGTTAGTAATTCAAACACAAACTACCTAATTCATATTGTCAAAGATGACTACATTGGATGCAACTGTCATCATTATTAATTGAAAAATCTATAAAGCCTCAAAGCTTCTGCAATGTCAAGACTTACTTATACAATAGGCAGTGGATATTAAAGCATGGATGACATCAAGGTTTTTTCTAACTGGCATAAAAAGTTTGACACCTGCATGCTGTAAGTAAGCTGACTTACAGGGGAAATCAATTAATTCTGCATCAGTGATAGTCTAGGGTTGTTTGTATGTGGGTGGCAGTGGTGGAGTCAATGATGACAAGTGTATAACATAAAACCATTTATTTTAACATAAGAGTAACTTACACAATACAAAGATAGTTTGTTCTAGAACAGTCAGTGGCTCGGACGTTCTGGCAGTCAAACATCATTCCTTGACCACTGATTGAAGGTGCTCCAGGGCAGTGGTGTTGACAAGTCCATAAGGCATGTGGGATGACTTCGTCATTGGCATCAGTAATACAATCTGAGTCTATAGTGGCATGGGTTATAGATTGGCACAATTGATGAAAAACTGTGTTTTGCGCATTGACACACAGCATCTTTGTTAATTGGAACATTAACTAACTGAGTGCAAGGTGCCCTTGATTGTCGGGGATTATATCAATCTCCCCAACAATGAGGGAGGACAACCAATCGTCTGTTGTGATTGGTTGTCATCCCTCATTTGTGTTTTTTCTGAATGGCTTGTCCTTTGTTTCTAAGTGTAATGGGACTCCTACCTGGAGTGCAAGGAAGGTCACAATTGAAGTTGAATTCAATCTCTCACTGATTATAGGATGAGATTCCTTCTATGATTTATGGTTTCTGCATCACAGTTTGACATAAACAAAGATGTTGGACTCAAACGTTTATTTTTCTTTGCCTTTTTAAACAATTAAATTTTTTTCTAAATTAACCAATTTTTATGGATTTTGTGACTGTTTGGACCTGTCAGGGACCTCACAATTGCCAAAAACAGAAAAATTATTCTTTTTATCAACAATTACAGTACACATTTGTTGATTTCCATTCTGAATTCTAGTTGAACAGTTTAATTTCTATCATCAAATATAACTAGATATTGCAACATTTAGATCAGGGAATCATTCAAAAGTTTAAATTACAATACAGAAAGCTTATTATACAAAAGATGTTATTGAAGATGGCTCACACAAGTTTAGAGTAAACCTGCTACAGTATATGCAATGCAGGTGATTAACGAAACTCGGAATTGTATATATTATATATGTATATATACAATCCTGAGCTTTATATATATATATATATATATATATATATATATAAAATTAACACTTTAAGTCTAACTGTATCATTTGTATTGAGAAATTTACAGTTTCATTAAAATAATGGTAGTTTCTGTAGCTCAAAATTTCATTATCCTGAAATTTTTTTTCTGTTTCTTTCATTTTGAGTTATTGAAAGTCTTCTGTATATCATTTCTTTTCAAGCTGTTCAAAAAGGAATCCAGTGAATTCAATATTAAATATTTTAAATTATTTAATCCAGTTTTATAACTGGGAATTTATAATTTTTGTTTTTTAATACATCAAAAACAAATAAATTTGCTTTAAAAAGGGTATGGCTAGTAATAAAGATTATTGTGTAGTGATTAAGTTAAATATTAATTGTATAAGTATGTCATTATTGCTTATTGGCTTTCAATTTACATTTCTTTTCTTCTTAGATTTATGCATCTGGCATGATCAAGGAACTCAATATGAGCAAAGACTTAGTCGAACGCATTCTTCCCAGTATAGAAGAATTACTAGATGTTCATTTAAACTTTTTATATAAACTAAAGGAGAGGCAACAAAAAGGATGCATTATTGAAAATGTTGGCGATATTTTGGTTCAGCAGGTACTTGGAAATTTTTACGTCAAGTTAAATAATTTAATATTTTTAAAAGTCTGTAATATTTTGTTCTTATTTCTATATTTAGATTGTAATAATAATTGTAAAAATTAAAGCTTTTGTGACCAATTAATTAACAACAGGTCAACAGATAGAACTCTTGTTAACTAATTATTTATAGTAACCTAATTTTTATGAATTTCGCAAACAAATTCCGGTTTAATAACTAATAAGATATTGAGTACACATTACAATTATATTCAATATAAGGTATATCTATTGTATATGTGATATTTGACAGTTTTGCTAATGAATTTTTTTATTATATATTTTTCAAAACATATTACATTACAAATTGAATATTAAGATTGTTTTTCCCTATTAGTTTCAAGGAGAAATGGCAGAGCAGATGAAATCTGCCTATGGCCATTTTTGCAGTCAGCATAAAGATGCATTATCTCTATATAAAGACATTTCGAAATCAGATAGAAAATTTCAGAATTTTATAAAGGTATATAATCAAAAATACTGAAATCTAAATTAAATTTTAATTTCATATTATATCTTAATAATAAAGTAATAAAATATATATTTATTTATTATTACTTGTTGATGGAGCTTATTTAAAAAAATTATTATGTATTCTGCTTAAATAAAAAAATACTAAATTATTTATTTCTAAAAAATTGTTCCAGAGATACAAGTTAAAGCCCACTTTTAGAGGCAGATCGATTCCCGAATGCATTCTTCTAGTCACCCAGCGGATTACAAAATATCCTCTAGTTATAGAAAATTTAATAAAATTGACTAAGGGTATGACAAATATTAATTTTAATTTATATATTTAAATGTGTTAAAAATATCTACTTTTATTTAAGTTACATTAAATTAAAAACATTACATAGAACATTATTTTTGGCCATTAAAATTTAAGTTTTAATTTTTTAGATAATAAAAAGGAATTTGAAGAATTGACTCAGGCACTAAATTTAATAAAGGTGTGTAATTTTATTTAATATGTTTGAAAATTTTTTGAAAGTGAAAAGTGTTCCTTTAATTAATTTGCATTTGGGTAAGAGTTGTTAATATTTTATTTATGTAAAAAAATGTTATATGTTTTCTCTATTTAAATCTGTCTCAGTTATTAGCTCTGTATTAACATAAAAGCTCTGTACAGTATTTCAAAAATTTAGTATTACTTGATTGCTTCTTGTTCTCTTTTAGATTGTTTAAAATGAGCATAAAATTGCTTTGGAGTTCTCCAAAGCAATTTTATGCTCACTTTCAACTATAAAAAATTTAGCTTCTCTACTAATTATAAGAATACTTAAGAATAATTTAAAGATCTAAAAATGTAAGCATTAGGAAGACAAATTAAATTACTAATACAGGAAATTCTTATTAGTTCGAAATTCAAGGGAAGAAATAATCGCGACTTTGAATTATCTGAGATTTACTTATATCTATACAATATGCCAAATGCCATATAACTGATGTAATTTAATAAGCAACCGAAATATGGCTATGTATACAGAATGCTATTTTCATTAATTAATAATAATAATAATAACTTTCCTGTGGTCACCACCTGGTCATGGTGAAAGAGCTTAGTAATTTTACTGATCCATATGGCAATGCAGGCTGGAGCAAAAGCTTCTGGTAGGGACACCCATGCCTGTAAGATCTATGGGAAATGAAGCTATGAGAATGAAGCTAAGAGTGACCTATAAGATCTATGAGAAATGAAGCTAAGAGTGACCACACCCACATTCTGTGGAGATATTTATCATGGTAGTAACCAGATCTAAATGTGATACTGGCTTGGACGTCACCTGGGTTAACAAGGTCCGCGTTTACAGGTTAGGCAGAGACTAACATTCGAAAAATAGGCCACAGATTCCCTTGGTTATTGGTGGCAAAAGCAGCACTGGCCCAAGCATGGTTACTGCAATGCCCTTGACAGAAGTGAGGAACCAATCTAGCCCTGGTGTTTCTGTGGCAATGCATCCACAGACCACAAAGGCTGGAAAACCACGCTAATGGAAATGGGCAATAGAAATGAATGAGTTTATCATTTATAATTACTATATCATCACAAAACTCCAAACGTGACATGTACAGACAACAACTACACCATAGATTCACACAACAATATCCTCACCTCAGTGTTATTGAACAAAGGGTTGTTGATGAAAAAAGAACAATTATAGACAACAACCTTATCCTACAAATAACAGGTTGCTGATCAAATACATCAACAATCAAAAATCAACATATCAAAGGTAGTAGGAAAAACAATAAATTATGTAAACACTCATTTACTACCATGCTACATTCATTCAATTTCTACACCCTCAGACATTCATACATTAGTTTATGCTGAGGCAGTTACAGTAGTGACACACCATGGACTGAAAATACAATCATAGACAAATACACACAAAACACAATTCTATCACAAGCCTGCCTGACAAACACAAAGAAGAATAGAAACACAAATAAATGACTTTAGACAGCAATTAGGCAGGCTGACACAATACACTAAAAACAACATAACACTCAAATTAAAGAAACAACTCAAAAACACTTTCAAGAAAATCAAAACACACAAAAAATATGAACATCACACAACACACACATTATAGAATACATTGATACACTAAAACAAAATCTCGCAGCCAAAGCACGTAAACTTAAACAATACAAAACATGTACACTACAAAAACAACAAAATGAATTATTTACAAACAATGAAAAACCCTTTTACAGACAAATTAGTAACAAAACAAACATTGACACACAGCACAGCAGCAGAAGAAGAACTCACAACCTATTGGTCTTCTCTTTGGTCCAGTGCCGTCACACACAATGCTGATGTGGGCTGGATTGAGGAGAACAAAAACTTGCACAACATACCAACTATGCCTTGTGCTGAAAAAAATGTATACGACATCTGCTATGCTGTTAACAGAACACATAACTGGAAGACATTTGGTGTAGACAACGTTTACAATTTCTGGTACAAAAAGTTTACATCACTGCACCATGAACTAGCTAAACATCTAACACACATCATCATCAATCCACAAGACATGCCAAAATTTCTTAGTCAGGGCATCACCTACATGAAACCTAAAAACAACAATACCACAGACCCCACAAAATATAGACCAATTACATGTCTTCCAACACTCTGCAAATAATTGATATCCTGTATTGCAAACAAAATATACAAACATGTTGAAGAACACGATATTCTTACAGAACAACAAAAAGGTTGCCGTAGAAATCACAGGGGATGCAAAGAACAGTTACTCATAGATTCAGTCATTCTATGGCAAGCATACAAACAACACAGAAACATACACATAGCATATATAGACTACAGAAAAGCATTCAACAGTGTTCCACACAGTTGGCTGCTACATATTCTATACATGTACAAAATACATCAATCACTCATTGCATTCTTCCAAAAAACTATGCAGCACTGGAGAACAACACTACATCTCAGGATTCATAATACTTCCATAGAAATAAACCAAATATTAGGTGAGGAATTTTTCAAGGAGATTCCACGTCCTCTCTGGTTCTGCCTAGCCTTGAACCCATTATCCAACATGTTAAACAACACACAATATGGATACAATATCAGACATGAAGAAACAACACAGTTTACACTGTCACATCTCATTTACATGGACAACATAGAACTTTATGCATCCACACAAAAACAACTTCACTAACTCCTACAAATCACACAATCATACACCAAGGACATACAAATGGAGTTTGGCCTAGACAAATGCAAAACACTTCACATAGAAAAAGGAATCCTGAAGAAAGATTTTGCACTTTGAAATGAAGACGTTATTGAATCCATGGAAGAGGGCGAGTTCTGCAAGTATTTCGGATTCCAACAGGCCAAACTAACAGAATATACAGAAATAAAGCAAAGATTAATTAAAGATTACCAAAATAGGTTAAATGCTATCCTCAGAACACAGTTAAATGCAAAACACACAGTTAAAGCAATAAACACATATGTCGTCCCAGTACTCACATACTCTTTTGGAGTTATACATTGGACTCACACAGATCTTGAGCAACTTTAAAGAAAAACAAGAACAACACTTACTAAGCATAAACAACATCATCCTAAATCTACCATAGAAAGACTAACCCTTCCAAGTAAACAAGGTGGACATGGCATGATTGACATAATTAACTTTCATTACAAACAAATACAGACACTGTGAGAGTTTTTCTACAAAAAACAAGAAACATCACAGTTACATAAAGCAGTAACTCTATTAGACTCAAAAAACACACCATTAAATTTACACTCACAACATATGAACATGACAAAATATAAAAAGCATAGACACCATTAAGCCATCATGGGTTCAAAAGACATTCCATGGCAGGTGTTAAGTTTACTGCTATACCTTAGTATACAGTTTACAGTGGAGGGTAATAGGCAATGAACACCAACCAATTTAAGGACTTTACACTTATTATTTAATGTTCTTATTAAAATATATGATTCAAAACTTCGGGAGTCTTACATGCATATTGATACACCGACAATATATATTCAGTACTGTTAACACGCGTCTATATCGGCTCCCGAATCTACTACCTAATTTTTAGGGATTGTACAAAAACAAAGGAAAAAACACAAACAAATTTTCTTACATGAGTTCTTCTCTAAAATTTTGGTCAATGTATATGTGGTTCACTTTGAAGTCTTTATTCTAGGTCCGGATGGAATTGGATTACTGTTCTCTCTCCACACTGTCCATTCTCCTTTCTCTTTCACCACGTGCTTATCCACTCGCGCACTTCACTAATACCACGTGTCCAACACAGTCCGAAGAGCAAGACAAAGAGTGAAACACCTCCCTTTATACTTCTTCGTTTTTGACGTCACGAGTCACAAACCAATCAGAGTCCCGCGGGTTTTTACAAAAGTGGTGCCCAGGCACAAACGGAGCATGCGAAACACATACAAAAAATAATAATTTAATCTGAGTGACAGATCACTACACAGGCATCCCTACAATCTGGCCCAGGATTTAGTTGACAAAACTGCATCAAACAGCTGGTTAGCTCGGGGATGCCTCTTTGGGGAGACGGAAGGATTTATGATTGCAGTACAGGAACAAGTCATAAATATTAAAAACTACAGAAAACAAAGATACAACACTAACAAATGACACATGCAGAAAATGTCACGTCATGCCATAAACTATACAACACATCACTTCTGATTGCAAGCTCTTGGCACAGACAGATTATTTACACAGACATAATCAAGTAGCAAATGTAATATACCAAGAGTTGCAAAGAAACACAAATTATTAGACATCCATGAACCATACTACAAATATATCCCACAGATAGTATTGGAAAACAATACGCACAAAATGTACTATGACAAAGCCTAATCACAGATAAAGCAATTTACTACAACAGACCAGACATTATACTCATTGACAAACACAATAAAATCACATGCATTATAGACCAGTGATTCTCAACCTTTTTTTCATCATGGTACACTTTTAATAATTTAAAAATTTGGCAGCACACTGTTACTTCGGTAAGTATCGCAGGACAACTGGTGATGTCATAACAGCGACTTTTAAATGCAGTTGGTTATTTAGATCATATTTTCTAAATGTCTTAGTAACTACCAGCAGTTACTGGTAACACCGGTTACAATTTCCAAACACACACTAGGAAGGTAGAACTGATTGAACTACTTGTCTGACGTCGCTTATGTAATATTTGCAATAAAAAACACTGTCGAATGCTTTTCTGTAGTCTTTTCTGTATATTTGCAATGCACTTATGTTATATTTAAAAATCTATAACAGTGGTTGAGAATCACTGTTATAGACATATCCATTCCAAACACTCACAATATACAAAACACATGAAATGAACAATGCACTGAAAAAATCAGCAATATACAGAACTTGCTCAGGGAATAAGGCATCTGTGGAGGATGGGTAGGGTGCTTATTGTATCTGTTGTTCTCTCCTCTACAGGTGTCATACATACACACTACACGAAAGCCTGGAAACATTATAATTGAACAGAAACATATACTTCACACTACAGAAGGCCACTATATTGAATATATGTCATATTATTAGGAAATTCCTGAATACAGATACACTTATTTAATTTCTGTTTTGTTTTGGTTACTATGCCTTGACTCTGGTTCGGCATAGTACATAGCTACCACTGTCGACTGAGTATAACTCACTAAACCCAACATAATAATAATAATGTAAATGTGAAGGTACATGTCTGATCAGAACGTCACAAGTTGCCAGATATCTTATAAAAAGTAAAGCAGAATTCCTCAAAATGTTGCCCAAATTATTTTTAAAATGGCCCAAAATATAGTAAATAATAAGTCGGCCAAATGTATTAGCCTAGATCGCTACAAATATCTCATTCTGCTACTCTATCTTGCCATCTCGAAAATCAGCCTTATTTTATGAGATGAGAGAAAAAAGGGTAGTCCACGGGTAAAGTGACACCTGAAAATGTGTTACCATAAAAGCATATTGATCTGAGTAGAGTCATTTTTTGATCTATTGTTCTCTTATAGTATGGAGACACTTCATTGTAAACAAACAATTTAACATGCATATCATGTTAACTTGGGCAGAATTTTCACTTCAAATTTCAAATTAATTAAGTTCTCTAATGTATAAATCTCTATATTTTCTGCCAGGACAGATAGTACAGTTATACACTAAGAGAATTTCAAACTATCCAAGTTCAAATTAATGAGAATTTCCTGTAATTTTAGGTTTGTCTTTTAAGTAGACTATTACACTTATACAGAGCAATTCAAAAATGTTTAGATGGAACACAGAATTTAACCAAACAAACATGACTGATATATGAATTTATGTTTTTTGGCTACAAATTAAATATTAAAAAAAAAGTTAATGATTATTGAATATTTAACTTTCTCATTTGATACAATTGACTATTTGAGAAGTTTGAATGGATTTCTTATTGTTGTTCATCCAATTCCATTTTTGATTATTGTCTTGTTGTGTCTTATGATGATATTACATTTGCATTTTCAAATTTGTTTTAAATTTTGTAAAATATAAATTCTTAGAAATTGATTTATGGTATTTTTGTTTTAAAATTCTTTATTAATGTGTACTAACATAATGTAATGTCATAATTAATATTAGGTATTTTAGAAAGTGTTTTATTACAATTGCTAAAACAGAAAAGCTCAAATGGTTTTGAGTTCTCTGAATTTTAATTAAAGATATAACAGAAAAAAAATAGCATAAATTACATTAAGATTTGAATCTAAATAATTCATGGGACAGATAGCCAAGTAATTCAGGTGGCAGCTTACTGCTCTGGGAGACTTCAGATAGAATCCAGGTAGGTCAAAAAAAAACCTTAGGAATTTTTTGGGGGTGGTTCATTCAGATATGTCTGGCTCTGGTCCCTCTTAGTACCCACTTAGCAAAAAGAGTTTTAAAAAATCTTAATAATTCTATGTGATAGAACGTTTTGTTAATACATATTAATAAAGTAAAAAAACGATTCAAATTTTCATCAGATAAATATAATTTAAATAATAATAATTTTTTAAATGTTTGTTTATAAAAAAGTTTTTCAAAGACAGTAAAAATTAGATCAAACTTTTAACAAATACTTTGTTAGACACTTCCTAATTTTAAATCATTTTATAATAATTAAATTTATATATGTATGTTTAGAGATAGAAATAACATGGATTAGTAATGCCAAGATGCAAAATTATCTTCATTCAATTTCAATTACTTTATCTAAGGGATGTATTTTTTACAGGAAATAATACATCACGTTGATGCTCAAGTAGCCGAAAAGGACAAAGAACAGAGATTGTTAGAAATTTATAATAAAGTGGATGCAAAGTCTACAGCTTTCTATAAAGGAAAAAAATTTAGAGTGAGTTAATTTTTAAAACTCTGTTATTTGTTTTGTAGTTTTGTAATTTTGCATAAATTATTTACAGAAATCGGATCTGTTTTCAAATAATCGGAAGTTAGTTCATGAAGGTCCTCTCTCTTGGAGACTGAGTGGAAAATCAAATGGAAAAACTTCAGGTAAAAATAAATACATGTTATGAAATTTTATTATTTTCAATGATCAATGAATATTTGACTAAAAGTGATGCTAGCTACAAATTAATAAAAATGAATTTAGAAAGAAGTATTTTGTAAATTTTCAAAATGAATATAATTTTTTTATGTTTATATTAATTTACTTTTGCAATATTTCTTTAAAAGTACATTTTCCTTCATTTAGAAGTTATTGGAGTTTTACTTTCTGATGTGATGCTTTTTCTACAAGAGAACAATCAAAAGTATTGCTTTGCTTCCATAGACAATAAGGTTTGTTAACTATATATTTTTTAAAAATAAGATAGGCATAATAATGAACATTGTAACAATTTTTTAAATTAATATGTAAAAAATGAAATACGGTAAACCCTGGGAAACTCGGACTAATAGAGAATGAAGGTTGTCTGAATTAGTGAGATGTTTTCTCCAACAATGTATAAAATGAGATGGATATATGGCACATTAATTTGTTATGATCAGCTGTATATGGAAGTTTTAATGAGCTTTAGTAGGTTATACTCCTGAATTCATTATTACAGGAAATGAGCTATAAAAAATTAATGACAGTACATTATAATGTTCAGTCTTTGGTAGATTACTGACTGCAGTAATATAATGTATGGTATATCAAAGATTTCCAGATATAAATACTTGTTAATTACAATTGTATTATAATTACTCATTAATTATAATTTTTTTATTGTCAAGAAATTTAAAATTACTGTATGGTACTTTTCAAAAAAATTTGTCTGAGTTATGCAAAGTCCAAATTATGATATGGGAAAAAAGTCAATTTCAGTCATAGAGTATGCCTCTTCATACTAAATTGATACTTTGGTTAGATTATCTACTGATGAAGGCAGTGATGGCCCAACCCAAATTCTATGATTAAGTTCTTCTCACAGGTGCTCAGTTTGGGTTCAGATCAGGGCTTTGGGCAGACAAATTCATCCATTGCACATTATCATATTAACAGCAGTGTAATGTGGACCAGGCCACATGTTAATTTGCATTATCATCTAGAAAATAACAAGTATTTGTTCCAAAATGTTCAAATTGGAAACATCTGATTGTCCAGAATGGATTGATAGGCACTGACTGGCATCCTTTCTACTTTTCATCACAACCAGTTGTCCCAAGCCATACTAATAAAAACCACCTCATACCATGGCATTTCCTCTGCTAAGTTTCACAGTAGGAAAGAGGACTTAAGAGAACTACATACTTAGGAAAGAGACATTGTCCGAGTGAAAAAATCGGAATCTGGATTTATCACACCAGAGAACCCATTCCATTTTTCTACATACAAGTTTTTATGCTGTTTTCCTTACTGGTTTGTTAGTTTTGGTGGTCAATGGCTTATGAGCAGCACTTTGTCCATGAAACCCTATGAGATGATCTTTGTATGCAATGTTTAAACATATCCAGTGACTCTGTTGGTTGCTTGCCACTCTTTCTGGATATTACGCATTGATAAGAATCTGTTTTGTTGCATCACCCTCTTCGGCACCCTTTGACCTCTAGATGACAGTTTTCTCAGTTGATACGATCTTGACTGATTGTTAGTAGTTACCACACTTTTTCCATTTGCATATTATGAATGCCCAGCTGATTTTGGATTAATAAGAATCTCTCAGATCTGTCAAACCCACACATATGACATCTGATGATGACCCTTTTCTGGAAGCCTATCAGCAGCATTATGTGATGTCACACAGATCTCAATCTGCATGATATTATACAGTACTACTGTCAGAATAACTGATTATGATTCAGGCATTTTATCCTGCAAATATGTCATGTGCCTCAGTGTGGAATTTTTTCATGTTTAGCAGAGGGATCTAATCACTTTTTGCAATATAATTTATAAGATTATAGTTGATCTTATATTTGTTCTATTGATTTATTTTGTTCATTAAGTCTTTCAATATATATTATTGTTTAAATTGTTTATTTTTAAGGAAATTAAAATTTTATTGTAGATTTAGCATAAAAACTTTGAGATTTATCTTATAAAAGTTTATTATGTTTTGCAGTCTGGAATTTTGTCACTTCAAAAACTTCTAGTAAGAGACAAAGCTGGTCAAGACAATCGCATCGTTTATTTGATATCCTCAAATCCCAAAGAACCCGAAATGTATGAAATAAAATTTCCAACTCAGAAGGATAAGAAAGTATGGATTGGAAAAATTAAGAAAGCTATTGAACATTGTGCAAATGAAGGTTAGTTTGAAGAACAAATGTTTTTATATTATATTTTATGTAAAATATTTCTCTTCACAGTTGAATATTAGAATTAAAGTGAATTTTAAGTGATACAAATAAAAGATGCATTAGAATAAGATAAGAATGGAAATACAGTATTACTAATAAAAAATAAAAACACCAACCTTTATTTTCAGTTAATGTATTTACTAATAAAAATTTTTCAACTTCTTAAAGGCCATTCTTGTGTTTTCTACATAAAACAACTTTCCAAAACGAAAAAACGTTGGGTTTGGAACATCAATAACATTATTTTAAACTTTTGTAAAGACATGGAACATTCTATAAACAGAGGGTTCTTGGAAATTTAAAATATGGACATTTTGTAAAGGGAAAAAGAAAAACAAACACAATTTCAGAGACTAGATCTTGTAATTAAATAGCTGCTCTACATAAATTTAAATGATGTATGGTTGGAAAGCTGGTGTAGGATAAGGTGAGACAGATAAGGCAAAAAATTAAAATAAGAACAAATAAAATAGAGATAGAAAAGAAATATAGATCAGACAAAGAATATATTAGACTTTGAACAATGCTTTCCAAACTATAGTAATGAAGTTACCATCTTTTTAATTAATGCACATTGCATTTTTTCTGATCTGATATATTTCAAGTTCTAGCAGCTTTATGTCATCTATATTTCTTGCAGAGTGGATTAGATCAGCCTCATCAAATAGAATTCCACTTTCAGGATCTGAGATAATTGTGGCCAGGGCTTGGTTTACAATCCTGTCTTTACGTTCATTAAATGTTTAGTTATTCTAGATAAGGGAGTGTGAGGTGACTGCTTTGTATACACATCTCATTTGAAATCTCCTATCAATTAAAGATATTTTATATGCATTTGATTTCTTAAATTAACATTGCATATCTTTTTCATTATGAAACAGCCCTTCTGTAAATGAATCTGGCATTCTTTATTTTAGAAATCAATTTATACAGAGGTTTTAAAATAAGATTGAAAGCAACTATATTTATTTGCAATGTTTCCTTTATATTTGTTTTTAAGTCCTTAGATGTGTATGTGGTAATATGAAAACTAAAAACAATTTTTATCTTTAGTTAATACATTAACTGAAAATAAAGTTTGGTGACTAGTTTTTTATATATGTTTCTTCTGTTTTGGAAGTGTTGATATAATTAGAAAATTTTATATAGAACATTTGAAATTTTGAATGGGAAAGAAATACAGTGGAACCTCGGTATACGACCTTAATCCATTCCTGGTGTTTGGACTTATACCGAATAGGACGTATACCAAACCAACCTTTTCCATAAGAAGTAATGTAAAAAATGATTAATCCGATCTCATGTAAAAAAATGGCTGGCTTTAAACACCTGGCTTTCCTGGCTAGTTTCTGCTTGATTTTTCACGAGATCAGCATGTATCCTTTTAACTTCTTGCAAATAATTTCTTCCGATACGCTGTCGCCGGCACACTGTTTTTCAGTTATCCAAAGCAAAAGCAATTTCTCGACATGATCTAATGTCTTCGATCTCTGTTTAAAAATTGATTTAACTCCTTTCGCAACATTAGCAAATTTAATAATGTCTTTATTTTTCACGATTGTCGATATCGTCGTTCTCAGAATACGGAATGCAACAGTTAAATCTTCGAACACGCGTGCCACCTTCACATTTCTCAACAATCTCTTTTTTCAGTTCCGTTGTGATTCTAGTCATTTTTTTATTTTTCTGTTGCCCTTTTGCAATTCATGATTAATAAAAATAATAACATGTTACTTACAAATTAAAATCAGAAGAAATTTAACAAAGTTGTAAACTTTAGCACCGCGAACGTCTAGTCTAGTGTAGTACACCGATAGTGCTACTTGTTGATAGATGGCGCGTATAATTGAATTAAGTCGTATACCGAACAAAAGTCGTATACCGAGCAAAATTTGTTTCGTCCAAACAGGACGTATTCCAAATTGGACGTATTCTAAAGCAGACGTATACTGAGGTTCCACTGTATATTTTAAGTATGCTGTTAAGAAATTAAGCAATGTAACTGCTAATAATTTAAGGGGTCTTACCATTTTTACTTCAGATAAAATGTTTTTTGAGACCAACTATTTTGCCATCAAATTTCTAATGGATTGATGCCAAGACAGTTGTTTGAGACAGATATTGAAAGTAAAAAATACTGAAACTTAGTTTTTAAAAATAATTTGAAGAGAAATTTTTTATTAAAAAAATAGTTTTTTTCTTATTTTTGCAACTTCTTAAAAAACATTTCTATTGAGCCAAGCCAACTGCCATGTAAGATTGGACTACTTTTCAGCAATTATAATTTTAATTACTAATCGATATGTCCTAGAGGGAGGCGCTGGGTGCATTCTTATATTAAATTTAATAACTATAATTTAATTAAATAATTTTAGAATATTCTGAAAGAGGCCCATTCTTGTATGGCAGTCGGTTTGGCTTTATACTAAAGAATCGGAGTTTGAGAGATGTTTATATATGCACATTTCTATTCATTTTAATGTAATACTGTATTGGTACCATATTAAAATCAAGTCTGAAGTATAGAATAATAGAAATTAATATATGCTGTTTCAGATGAAGGTATTCCAAGCGAAACAGAAGAACAAAAATTAGAAGAAGCTAAAAGCTCAAAGCTGAAAGAACTAGTTGGTAAGTTAGGTTGCTTTGCAACACATTCAACTGTTAACCTTAATTTAAAAACTGGCAAGCTTTGATTCAACTTTCGTAGATGTTTTTTTTTTATCTGGTAATAGATAAAAAGACTTGGGTCTATAAAGCTTAATATTTTAATTCTGAAACATACATGTGAACATTGCAAAATTGTAATGTTTTAACTTAAGGTTAATAGTTGTGTGTGTTGCAGAACGATTCATCCAACATTTGGAATTATTGGTCACTAAGCTTTATTTATTTATTCATTTTTAATTGATTACAAAATAATATAAATAGCAAGAGAGTTTATTTTTATATAACAGAAAACATAACAAGAATCTTGATATAAAAAAGTAAGTTATAAATACAACCTCACCATTGTGTATGACATTATGAGTTCCCACGCTGAAAAGTTATAAAATAAGTTACAAAATATAGAATAATTATACAGATATTAACATTATAAAATTAATTTATTACATCCACAAATAAAAAGTGATTTGCAAATGAAGTTGTAGCAATAATTGCATGAGTAAAAAATAAATTTATTATTGTAGTAAGTTTACTATCAAATAAACTTGTATTTTTTTTCTGAATGTATGGAAATTTTGTAATTAAAATGGAAGATTATCTAGAACACAAGTAAATACATATTTTTTTTTAATTTTAAAATTATAAAATGCATATAAAAATCAAGAAAAAAAATCCTACATGTAACTTTCTAGCTAAAAAATTCATTTAATAAAGTTATTAATGAGGTTCTTAAATAGCATTTCATGGAATGGATGGAGCTTACTGCAGGGTGTCTATAAAGTTAGTGTACAGTGAGAAATTCGTAATGACATTAAAGTTGGTATTGTATATGAGACCCATAAGTTGTGTATATTTTGCATTTCCACTTTGTGATAGACTTACCACTTGCTCACAGACATCCTGGTTTTCTGGGCTATAATTTTTGGAAGACTTCTTTGCTGACTGAATAATATCCCTTGGAATCTGGCTTGCTAGGTCTTTAGATCTGGATTTTCCAGATTTGGGGCCTCGGGGACGTGTGGCCTTTTTTATAGAAGAAACTACAATATCATATGTAAGACTTAAATTTTATTAAAACTTTACTTAAACCTTTTCCATTGCACAGTACTTTTCCAACACCCAGTACATTAATATGTTCATTAAATAAACATTGTTGGGCAGTTTTTGAAAAAAGTTCAAAGGTTGCATGTTGGAATTTCTTACATTTTCTGAAAATTATTAGTTGATAATTTGAATGAAGTCAGAAAATTACTTGCATAAACAACATATTTTCTATCTTTCATGATTTGGAATAAAAATTTTGTGACAGTCAGAGGTTTGTCTTTATTATTGTAGATATATAATTATAATGAAAATATTATGAACACAATACCTATTACTTATTTCAATTTTGTAATATTTCAGGACTGTTACATGACAAAGATATAGAAATTGCTGTTGTATGTGAAAAGAAAATGAAAATATTAGTTGATATCCTGGTAAGTTTAATTGTAATGAAAAGATTATGCTTAAGGAATTAATCAAGGTTTATTTGAACAATAAAATTCATTAGTAACTAGAATAAACTAATAAATAAAATGTCTAGGATGACAATAACTTATGAAAAGTATTCACAAAATACTTTTTATACATTAGAAGTTTTATATGTTATACCTGGAAGAAACAGTAAAATGTCTTCGTATCTCATCCTCTTCAATACCTCAGGAACAGAATGGTCTATGCTGCAGAGCCTTTTATTTGAGGCTACTCATCCACTTTGATATGCAAAAATGTTAAAAATTTCAGGGTGACGACACAATTATAAAAACATATTAATTAATGAATTCCAATTTTCTGATTATTTTTATATATTATTATCATCATCATTATGACCATTTTATTTATTAATTAATATATTTTTATAATCGTGCCGTTGTCCTGGAATTTTTAATATTTTTCATATCAGGGCAGATGAATAGTCTCAATTAAAAGATTTTCCCGAAAGATTATTGTGTTCCTGAGATCTTGAAAACAACAAGCTGCAAAGACATTTTATTGTTTCTTGAAATTTTGTGAAGATTTTTTATAGAATAAACTATTAAAATATCATCAAGCATCATATTAAATAAGAACATATACACATTTTATGTAGAAACTTTAGAAACTTATAGTATTATATTTTGAACATAATATTATAATATAATTTTTTAAACTCAAGGAAAATGAACTTTTCTATGCATAGTACATAACAAAGCAATATAGAAAGTATGTAATAATTTTTTTTAATATTGTTAAAATACAAAAATATTCTTTAATATTTCTTTTATGTGACTTTATTGTCTAGAAGTGTGAATAATTGTTGTAGAGAGAAACAGATTATAAATAAAAATATGAAAAGATAGATTTATTTATTAATTTGATGTAGTAAGATGATTTAAATGAATTCAAAGGTACTTTCAATTTTCATATCTGTTCTTTGTATTTATTATGGAACATCATATACAGACAAAATCAAACTAGTTCATATCCCCAAAATTGATAGTTCTAGGGAACCTGTGAAACTTTTGCAGGAAAATAGATATTGGACATGATTGAGATTGAAGAAATATTTAAGTTGATCATACAAAAGTAAAGTGGAACATTTTTAATAATGAATACGCAAAATAATTTCTTTAAGTTGAGTCAATTTATTTTGTACAAAGTGCCAAAATTCATTACATCTCTTAGCTGAATCACAACTGCAATATTTTAGTCATAGAATTGGTTAGTTGCAGAATTTGCTCTGAGGGAGCTCAGTCTCATTCTTTCGTAAGATGTTGCAAAGCTGAAGCAGTAGTGTTAGTTTTTGCTTATTGCTTCTTCACTTTAGATACCTCTAGAAGTTTTCAATTGGATTAAGATGAGGTCTGTGTAGAGACTAATGTAAGAGGTTGGTATTTTTTCCAAATCCAAGCTGTGGTTATTTTTACATAGTCACCTCCAACCTTGATGACTTGCTTTTATTTATATAATTCTGAAATCTTCCACAGTTCTTCATTATAGTGTGAAATAATTTGCATGCTACCAAATGGATATTTTTCATACTTCACGTGATCTTGTTAGAAAGTGAATTTCTTCTTTTTGAGTAATTTAACTGGATTACGAAAGATTTTGTTTCAATATTTTGATGTAGTCTCTTGCAGTGATGATTTTGGTGTAGAAAATGTAGGTAGCCCTTTGCAGAAAAACAACCACACATACCAACAGAGCCTATTTACACTGCATGTGAGCAGCAGCATGGGAGATCAGCTTCATTTCACGTTCATACTACTTTTTTTCTAATAATGCCATATGCTAGGCAGAAGCGGGATTTGTCTGATTGCAATATGTTTTTCCCAGTCTTTCACTGATCACTTTTGTACACTTTTAATCTGTGCCAATGTTTGTCATTTGCTGACCTCTGTTTATTATGATTTTTCTTAGCACAATGGAAGGCAAATCTGTATTGTCATATCTGAGATTTAATACATTTTTCTTTTGTACATTTCTTGCCCAAATAATTAACTTCATACCCATAACAAGCTGATTTTTCTGGATATGTCTGCAATTCCTGTCTAAGATCCACATTTTTCTACAACATCTTTGTTTCTGTGAAGCTATAGAACTACAATTGTGTGGTACTTAATTATATTTTAGACTGAATATTTACTTAGCTGCAGTACTTGAATTATCTTAGCATAATTTTTTTCACACCTGTGTTTTTCCACAAGTGCTTCTTGCACTCTGCACTCACAGATCTGCTCCTAGTACAGTAATTTCTATGGTTTTGTTAATTTGTTTGGCTTCTATACCTCTTCAGTCACCTCCAACCTTGATGACTTGCTTTTATTTATATAATAATAAATCTTCCACAGTTCTTCATTATAGTGTGAAATAATTTGCATGCTACCAAATGGATATTTTACAGTTAGTGCCGTTCCTTGCTTTCTTTATTATCAGCTTACAAATCTCATGTCCTAAATACTGCCCAATTCTGTTTTTCCACTCACAATTTCATAATCATGCCAAAATGATAAGTTTTAGCAGATACTGGTACTAATTATTTAAATTTTGTCTTTGTACATAAAATTAGCTAATATGATTATTTTATATCATAATCTCAATTAATTTGAATTGTTTTATTTATTCTTTTGTTTTTTATAGGAACTTTCTGGGATTGAAGCAGAATCATATGAAAATGTAATTATGTTCACTTATTTTATTTAACATAATTTACAATATTTATTTAAATTTCATATTTTCATTACAATTTTTTCTTTTTAAGCAAGTTGTGTGTAAAATTATTTTATAAGTAATATAATTGAGTAAAGTAATTTATAGTTTTCAAAAATAATTAATTTTAAAAAAAGTAAAATTCAAGGACCCAGGAGAATATTATTACATCTTTCATTTATGTTAAGTACCTGTTTTTTGGATCCTTTCCAATCTAAATGAAAGGAGTTTCTCATTAAAATAAAATTGAACAAGTTTTTATAATTTACAAATGTAATTAATGTTTAACATACATAGTAGATAATGTAAAACTGTATAAAACTTCCTATCTTAAAAAATTCACTCGATGAAAGTTTTATTTTTTGAATATTGAGACATTTATTTCCATATGTACTTAGAATATATATTAAAGTCTGATTTCTATATATATATTTAAGTATATATAGAAATCAGACTTGAATATAATAACTAGAGAGTCAAGAACTGCTAGATTTATTCAGATTATTTTTAGACTACAGTTTAATTAATTTAGCATGAAAGTTTAATCTAAAGATAGATGGTATTTCCATGGTATAATTTAATAATCAGAAATAATTTAATTAATTAATAATTCATAAACATTTACAGCAGACAAACTGTGGTCAGTGGGGTCACATACAGACTTCTTTCACCTTTTGGCATAGTTTGCTTTGTTGTTGTTAGCATTCGTAATTATGATTTACTTAATAAAATTGTTGCTGCTAAAAGACTAGGTTGTGAAATAATTAGTTGATTTCTGTGTTGTGAAATTGCCTGCATTTTCAATGTAATTTTTTATATAAAAATTATTTCTTTTTTATTTAAGAAACTTTTTAAAAACAAACTTTATTTTGTTTTATTTAATTTTGGTTTTATACTAAATGATTGTTCAAAAAGCAGCTAATATTTCATCTGATCTATTTTAAAAAATATAGCATTAACTATTATCTGCATGATTTGCTTCTACATCATAGACAAGTGTATTGTTTTAAAGAATACTGAAAATAACTGATGATGAGCTTAATTTGGAGATGAAGCATCAAATATTGTTCTGCATTTCTTTACTTTTACAAATTGACCTTTCTTCTTTAAGTAATTATTGATGCTCTGTTTTAATATTTGTTAATTTATTGAGATCTATTTTCTGTTCTTTTTGGATACAAGATCTTTTATAAAATTTGATTAAGTTCAATTTTTATAATAGTGTATACTTGAAATTATGTTGTAATTAATTTGAATGTATAAAATGTAACTACTGTACCGTAAGATTCGAATTAGTCAATAGGAAAAAGTTGATTCAAATATGGTACATTATCATTTATGCTATTAATTTTCTGAGTCAAACGTTGCTTCTAGACATTTATGTATAATTTAGGAATATTATGTTCTCATTATGTAATGTTTCTAAATTTTATATACATCTAGAAATAAAAGTTGACTCTGAGCCAGATAACTTAATAGGTAACACATCTGTTCGGTTTACAAAAATTAAAAGTTTCAATTTTACTTGGTTTATCTTTCTTCAAGATATTTTTAAAATGTTAATAAATTAAATTAATTCTAATTATTAAAATATTTACAAAATAGAAATTCTGCTTTGTAATATGTTGGAGTTATCTGTACACTAAATTTCATTTTAAAGTAATTAAACTCTAACCTAAAAATAATCTGAAAAAATACAGTATTTGATTAACAGAAAGTGTAATGATATCAGGCCCCCTCATCCTCCCTCAACTGTGGTCCATGTGTAATCCATTTGCATGCAGTCGTAAAGAGTAATAAGAAATGTAGACAAAGGGCCATAAAAAAGAAGAGAATGAAGGTGGGAAAAAGGACAGTCAGAGGAGGTATGAGGATGGTAGAGAGAGAGGAAGAATAGTGAAGTGGTGAAGTCTGAAAGTGGGATTAAAGATTCAAGTTTTTTTTTGTGTTATGATATTTGATTGTTCATGTTATGTGTGACGAACCGGCGAGATGGAATCAGTAATTCAGATCGGGTTCCGTACAGAAAGTTACAAATAAAAGAAATCTTATTTTTCATATTAAAATATCTGTATTTTTTCATAGAAACTAGTGTATGAAGTATTAACATAATTTAATATAAAGTTACTCTCAAGCATTAATAAAATTAAATAAGCCTCCTTTCATAGTTTATTAAATAGACCTTTTAATAGAATAATAATAACCAGTGCCCTGTAACATCACCTTATCTAGCCGTATGATGAGTAAGTTAGCTAATTAATGTATAAGAGCTGTGCATAAATTACGTAATGATGGGGGTGGTATGCAGGGTAATCATAAAAATGGGCACAAGAGCATGAGGGAGTTTACAAATATGTTACATAATGCTGGGATATTTAAATTGACTTCTGTTGTTTGTTAAATATGTAGGATTAAGCTTAGATAACAGAATAATTCATTTCTGTTTCTGAAGTGTTGTGTAGTGAATCATACTGTTTATGTCATTGCTTTGTACAGTACATTATATGTACTGTACAAAGCATATACAAAGTAATAAAATAATATATTTAGTACTGTGTGCTGTGTATTATTCATTATTCCTTAGTACAATTAGGGAGTTGTTTGAGTATTTATGTTACCTAATTTTGTGGTTGGACATGTGCAACAATATTATGGAGCAATACAGTAGTGGGATTTATAGTTGAAAAGTATAAAAATAGCATTATGTAATATATGGATGATTCAAAAGCACGCACTTTACATAAAAAATTCGTTGTTTGTGGCTATGTCTAGGGACATCCTGATACTTTCAATACTGCATTGATACTTTTCTTCGATACCAAGTATGTTTGTACTCGATACTTTACTTTAGGTTATTGGATCTGGTATCATTACATTTTTCACAGACAAATAAGGTCCAAAACCAGGTTTCACAGCCAAATCAGGAATCAAAATGGAATTTTACACTATTTTTGGTTAGGTTAAACATATATAAAAAATATTAATGACAAAAAATGAATAATTGCATTATGTCAAATTTCATTTTTAGAATCTATCTGCGCTATCTGAGTTCAGATAAATAAATATTTCGTTTAACATTATGTAGTACTTTTGTTTGTTAACCAACTTGGACCATTGGTGATGTTTAAAACTAAGCTACAATTTGCATATACTTATTTGAACCTGACATTTGTAAAATTTCAACACAATAAAGAACTTTTGATGCAAAGACACTGTTTTATCTTTTTACCAATAATTCCTTATCCACCCTTATTTCATTTATAGTAGTACCCACAGAGTCCATTAACATGACTATAGATCTGGGGCTTCTTTTGTGTGCATAAGACATTTTACAGGTGTAAACTAAAGTACTGACTGATGCACTCACTGACTTCTGATCCAGATAGCCGGGATTCAGTTCCCTGGAGTAAGCAACAAAATACAAATTGCTGCTCTGGGGCCCACTTGGCCTTCATTGTAATAAGTATAGTACATTTACCCATCTTTTTATGCAGTCCATTTTACATAAGTTTAAAATAATGCAGTCAACAAAAGAAAAATAATCCTCTTTTACGTGATTGATTTTTAAATGGAAAAAATTTATTTGAAAATTTTTAAATTTAACTTTTTGTTAAAACTGTTGAAATCAATAGTTAACTTTTTTCCTTTTCAAACACACTGTACAGTACTTGGAAAGGAAAAAAATTGTACATCAGAGAATGCTGTATGTCAATTTTATGTTTCCTATGCTACCTTGTGTTTATTATATTTACATACAAATAATGCTAATGATAAATGATGTTAGAATAAAAAAAAAGCTTGTGTTTCTTTTGTAAATTGCATATTTTTTTTATTCCATTGAAGTTTTGGATCCTATCAAGCATTTTTCTATGGGATGCAGTTACTGTACTTTTTATGCAATTTTTTTTTACACGACATTCTTTGGAACATATCTACCATGTAAGAGAAATAAATGTAAGTTCTTGGTAGTAAAAGCAACTGGAAAGCAAAATGACAGAGTGAACAGCGGCAGCCGGCAAGATTTTCAGTTTCGATACCCGATGCCGATACCGGCTGGTATCGATACTTTAAGACCAATACCAATACTAGTATCAGTTTCGATACTTTAAAACTACTTGTGATATCGGTATCTATACTTTTGTGGTATCAGGACATTCCTAGCTGTTTCCCTTAATTAAATTATAATTTTATAGATTATTTACTGTATATATTTTGCTATTTTGTTTTCTCATATAATTGAGAGTTTGATATAAATTTAGATATAAGTTTCCAATGAGTGATTTATAGAAATTACAAATTTAAAACAGTAATCTTACATTTTAGGTAAAATATACTCATTTAGTAGAATCTGAAGAAGGAACTAATCCTAAAGAATTAATGTTGGCTGCTTTAAGTAATGGTAAGTATTACACAATTTACTACATTTCATAAAATATCGAGTCAAAATATATAATTTTGTTTCGCACAATTGTTTTCGTAGCCTCTCGTCTGGCAAGTTCTCTCTATGCTTCCGGTACTAATTTGAGTAGAAGTGTCAGTAGTGCAGGAGAACATCAGAGCGAAACTTTCATATCGCCGCAGTTACCGAAACGAGCGGAAACATTCGGCGGCTTCGACAATCCCAATAAAGAACAAAACAATAATAATAAAGGTCGGTCGACTTTCATTTCCACAGCCGTCCGCAAATATAAATGACTATATACATATTTATAAATTATATACTTCATTTTTAAGGATTAGGAGTGAAGAAAAAAATACAGCTTCTTAAGGATCAAGTCGGAATGAACATTTCTTCCATATCTCTGTCTGCTAAATCAGAAATAGAAACCGAATTGGAAGTTCCAGATAATAAGGTATTTTATTTATCATTTTGTAAATGCAGAAAGACTAAATTAACTTCAAAACAATTAAAATGTGTTTTTCACTTTTTTGTATGAAAAGTTTCATAAATACCTTCTATATTAACTTTTTCATAAAATATTAAAAAAATTTTATTAATATTTATGCAAATTACTGTTTTCTGTTTTATAAACTATAGTTATAATGAATAGATATTAGATAATTGTATCTCTGTAACAATAATGTGAAATTAAAATCTTTCACATATATAGGAAAGATTTCTATTATATTTAAATCAAGAAAAATTTATGAATGTTGTTATCAATTTATTTTAAAGGGAACTGATGCACAAAGCACACCAACAATTATTACTGCTATTCCAAAATCAAGAACAGAAAGTCCAGTAAGAAACTTTTAACTATACAATGAAAATAATTATTTACAATTTATTATTATGATATAATGTATATTCTGTTATATATAAATTTCTGTTTTCTATCTTCAGTTTTTATAAAATAAAATATGGAGTTTACTAAAAAAAATTATTTTTGCAGGAAAATCAGAGTCCACCTCAAGGATCTGTTGCCAGCAAAGAATTTTTAAGACTGACAACTACACCACTCTTAGTGACTCAAGGAAAAGAACAGTTAGAGGAAATTGTTGAATTATCTCATAATGTTAATACATTAATAGTAAGCATTTAATTATATTTACTTCAATTTATATTTATAAGTATTTATTCCTTTGCATTGTAATATATTTAAATTTTTTAAAATTTTCAGTGTCTGTTAAGTCAACACTTCTCAATTGTCGAAAGGTAATTATTTTATCAAAAACTTTATGTAAATTAATTATTTATAATGTGTTAATGGTATAAAAAGTTATTTAGCTTTTTTATATTAGTAATTATATCCGTACGTCCTAATGCAGGCAGGGAACCGTGCAGCTAATTACAAAAATGTAATTTTCAGAAAATGGGATTTGGAAATTGGAACAATCTTTAATTCCTTGATAAAAATAATCAGCTTAGAAATTACTATTTTTCTTTCTTTCTGAATTCTAAGTTTTATTGTATTTACTGGAAATATTTATTTTAATTTGTTTCATTCATTTAATTAAAATAAATTTGCATATTTATCATCATAGAAATTAATTTGTATTACTTGGCATCACAACACTGTAAATTACTTTGAAAATGTTAGAGTCATTTGACAAAATACAATATTAATAACTATTGAACACAACACTGTGTTATTAAAACACTTGGCATTTTTCCTCTTTATTCAGTTGAACGTTATTTTCCTTTTTTCTAGATGGAAAAACGCCTATCTAGAAAAAAGGAAAATAACATTCAACTGAATAAAGAGGAAAAACGCCAAGTGTTTTAATAATAACACGGTCTTGTGTTCAATAGTTAATAAATACGAAAACACAGTTTCAAAAAACGAATCAACTACAATATTAATATTTTAAAAATTATATAAATAGTTTATTTATAATAATAATAATATGAAGATTTATAAAACCAATAGCAAAAATCAAAAACTATTTATATTTTTAATCAATAGTATGCGAGTTCAGTTAAAAGAAGCTAACGAAAAAATAGCAAAACTAACGGAAGAAAAAGCTCCCCGAGAAAAACGCGAAAGAAGGTCATTCTACCGGCCGGAACACCAGTTAGAGGAACTGAGGAACCTGCAAGAGAAATTAACTCAGGAACGATTACAGTGGCAAAAACAAAGGATAGAAGAAGAAGCGGAATTAAACAAATCAAAAGCAGAATTAGAAAGACTTCAGGTAAATTTTTCAAATACTTATTAGAGTAATTATTGAATGGTAGATTGACAGAAGAAAATTTAAAAAACTTTTATAAGTCATAAGAATATGATAAAAATTGTAATTTAGTACAAATACATTTACTTATACATCTTTGTAGTTTACAGAAAGCTAAGATACAGTACTGTACATTAAATTTTCTAATACAGCTTTAAATATAGCATTTTAAAGATGACTAAAATTAAAAATATTTGCCTAGCTAGAAAAATCAAGCATTTAATAGCATTGTTTCTAAAAATCATCAATAAATGGCAACAACAAAAAACTTCACCAGCAAAAGTTACTCCTAAGGAACATATGAGAAATTCCTGTGAAAACTATTACATCTAATTGTTTCAATGGTCAAAGTCTCGAACTAATCTTTTGAAAAGAATTAATAGTATAAATTTCTTTCCAGTTGGCAGTAACTAGAATTCTTTATTTCATTGTTTATATATATATATATATATATATAAACAATGAAATAAAGAATTAATAACAATGAAATAAAGAATATATATATATATATACTGTACTTTAATCACCACATTACCTTAAGACATACCAGCAGGTGTCACAATTGCTCATACCCACTACATACATATCCAAAATGTCAGATTGTCAAAGGTGTGCATATATCTCTTCTATCGTCTTTTTTGATGGAAAACTAATCATCACCGGTCAAAACCAACTTTAGATAAACAGTGAGAGTATGCTAGAAATTTGTGAACTACAAAATATTATCGAGGTTGGAGTACTTTGTTGAACTTTCACCTTGTTTTCAAATTTATAGCGCATTCTATTCGGACGATACGCATTTTGATTAATTTGCACCACATAAAATTAACTCGTTTGCCCGTTCTATCGATATACAGTACAGCGGGGAGCACGAATAATTTCAATTTTTACGAAAATTTTGTGGAAAACTATTGGCAGTGGTTTTCTTTTAGGTGTGTAGCGTAACCTACCATTGTAGGAAACGCCAACGTACTAGACTGAAAACTGTTGATGTTACGCCATCTTTCGTTTCATTCTCTCATTCTTTCGTTTCATTCTCTAAATCGAGTGGGACAATTTGGATAAATGTAATAAAGCGCAGTTACATAAATGAATTCGGCGAAATACGATAGAAAACAGTATAAGTTTGTTTTTTTAATGTTGGATAAAGATACATATTATAGAATAATAAAATACAAAATCCCCGAAAAAAGTTCATACTCAAAGCTATACGGGCTGTTTGCAGCCTCCACAAATAAAACGCCGGGGACGTTTTACTCCCACGCTGTATTCGTAATACCGGGCAGGATGGGCATAAACTTTTGCAGGGCCGGGTTCCAAAATTGCATGTACAGTACTCAGAATAAGTAATTTATTATAACAAAATTTAGAAGTAGGACAATTCCTATTGTTTTGCTATAATGTCATGGAAGAAAAATACATTTGAAATTATTTTCTAATATCGTTATTGATTTTTCTTTAGGTTCTAATTTTGCTATTTATAATGGCCTATATTTTCTTGTTCTTATTCATTTATGGACTATTATTTCATCTCGAAAACATCATTTTTTTTAATTTTAAAGTTATAATTAAATTCGGCTTTAGATATTTAATAACATTTTTAGATTTGAGCCTAGTTGTAGTTAAAAATAATTATTTTAGTATTCCTCTCCGGTGCTCTTCTCCCTCTCTTCTTTCTTAAAATATATTATTTCCCATTTCAGCAAACTCCTCCTAGTGATGTAATTATAGACTGTGCTAATACATTCCTAGCATTCTGGTATTTTTGTAATATCATTGGGAATATAAGGGAAAGCGATAATACTTTTGTTTACGGTTATTTAAATATAGTTGATTTTTGAAGACATTTTAGTTAGTCGCTTAATCCAGCGAGTTTTGATCGTTTGTCCGATTGCTTAGCCAACATGGGAACACCCCACCGCATTTAATTCCTTTGATTCTACAGTTTTGTGTTTTCTGACATAATTAGTATTTTTAGGTTGTAATTTCGGGAAGACGAGGGAAAAAACGAAATTCGAATAATCTCAAACACTTATTGGGTAAAAGAAATATCGAAGTTCCGGAGAATTAACTTGTAAAATGATAAAAGAGACGAATGAATTGTTTATGGCTCAATTAACGTATCCAACGATTCTTTTTGTTTTAATAGGCAGAAAGTTTAAATTCTTTGAATTTTTCCCAGAGCATGGGTTTTACCATTGAAAGATTGAAACCATCCATAAACAAGTTTTAAAATTTCTAGTGGAAGGAAGAATTAGTAAAGAAGGGCCAGTATCGAATTATGTTCAAAGTAAATATCCGTTTCTTCTCCCATTTACATAAACGTAAATATTTACTAATTATTCTACTTTGTTTATAAATAAGTAAAGCGCTGTTTACTGCACGTTTTAACCAAACCTGGTTTTAAATTCTCCCGAAAGTAAACAATATAATATTAATACGGACCTGGTAGGCGCCAATTATTCCTTCTTGTACGATTGTACACAAGGGATTTTTCGAGGGACGAAAATTCCGATAGAATTTCTAATCGGTGGAAAACTTTCCGGTATTTTTTGTCGCAAATTGATGTCACGGTTTTATTACGCCATTCCATTAGACTTTTCCACAAGAGACATCGCGGTACAAATCCGTTTCCGGAAATTCGAAAACCGCCATTTTGTAGAAATTTGTAGATGACTGGAATTTCCGTCGGTTATGTTTTTCTTGGATGGGAAGGATAAAGCTGGAAACGCTAACATTTTACAATTGCGAAAGAATGCAATGCGGTAGCCTATAACACGTAGGCGCATATTTGGTAAGGTTAGAGAATAAGGATAGCCGGTGTTATTTTATCGTTTTATTTTATTTTACCGTTACAGGAGCAGATCAAGTCGGAACAGGCGGATCTGAATCACCAGAGAGAGTTGCTGTATCGGAAGCTGGAAGCCCTTCAGAAGGAAGGGATCATCCTCAGCCCCCAACACACGGTGGTCAACCTGGGAGGAGCGGGAAACAAGGAGGAGGCGGCCGCCGTGGATCCGGTGGCTCAGCATCGAAGATCCGTTTCCTTCGACCTGCAGAGGGTGCAGACGCCCGCCGCCAACGGGGAGAACAGGTCCAGACACGATCCCCGCTTCCAGTCGTCCCACAGCGCTTCCAGCCTGCCCGTGGCCGCGAAGAGGGAAGGGAGCCGCGACCCCGTCCCCCTGCAGCTGCGCAGCGCCACCAACATGCAGAAGAGACAGGTGGGCCAAGTCCGACAGCAACTTCCGCTCAAGTTGGCCAGCGGCAGTTCGGCGGCCAACGGTCCGGCCCCCGTCCCTCCGCCGCCATCTTCGGGCCCCGAGGGGACGGGACCGCGAGCTTCTTGTCGGTCGCCCGAAGAGAAAATCGAAGGGCCTCCCGGCAGTCCCAAGGGTGGCGGCCGGAAGTCGGGCGGAGAGGGAGCGGGGGAGGAAGAGAGGGGTTCCGCTTCCTCGCGGGCGGCGCCCGGAGATCGAAATCGACGGGACGGAGACTCCGACCGGGAAATCTTCTGTTGAGGGGAGGAAGACGGGAAGCTTTCTCCGTTAGACAGACGGACGGGCGGAGGAACGACGGGACGGAGTGGCGGGCCCGATTCGCTCCGTCCCAATTTCTCTTTCGCTCCGTTTCGTGTACATAGACCGTTCCTGTAAATAACGAAACACGGGCGCGCGTGCCCCGGCCGAGAAGAAGAGAAACCGGCCGCCTTCGCTTCCCCCGTGGGGGGAAAAGGATCCCGGCTCCCGTCGGCGGGCGGAGGCCCGAAACCGGAAGAACTGGCGCTGTTCGACGAAACGTTCCGGCCCCGAAAAATTGTGATACTTCCGGTTTTTTAGAGGGCCGGCGCCTTAGACGCACGCGCCCCTGGTAAAATCCTTTTCGTTTCTATCGCACCGCGCACTCTTCGGTTGTTTTTTAAAAGAATACTCCCGTGATTCAATGGTAGCCTCGGAAATGTAAATAATAATAATTGCATCGTGTCGATAATTCTGTAAAAAATTTCTAAAAAATAAAAAAATATTCTATGTATATGTATAAATATATATAATGCGGAAATAATTTTGTGATATTTAAGAGGAAAAAGTTTATATATGATATTTTAAGCACCGAACATATAAATATATATATAATGATATTTAAGAGGAAAAAGTTTATATATGATATTTTAAGCACCGAACATATAAATATATATATAATGAATATAATGTACGTAATTAAGATCTTATTCCCGAGTTGTAAATGACCCGATGTTTTATATTCGCACGACGTCGACTTCACCAGGTTCTGTACATAAACGAGAGATTGCCATCTAATACCTGTAAATGATGTATTATTTCTGATAATAAATGTTTTACGGTTCGACCGCTCGCCCCTTTTCCTTCTCCAAACTTTGCCGGAACCAGCGTCGGTAAATGACGTAATTCATCGTCCGAAGATAACCACGCGCGTGCCGGATGGCTCGGCCTGACGTCTAATTCGGGTTTCGGTTTCCACGGGTGGCTTTTCGATTTAATACGCGCCTAAATCCGAGTTACGTCGATGGCCACCTATCGTCTGAAATAATGCAGCCGGTTGTAAAAATCGATGGTCCTAGGGACTGGCATCCCTAACCCCACCGAACTAAAAGCCGCCGTTAAAATAAAGGTTTTCCGGATTTGCTGGCGATTTAACGCGCGGGACGGAGGCGGGTGGATCGTCTTCCGCGGATTTAGGAAGCGAAACGCGCGTGCCTCCGTCCCGTCGAGCGGAAGGCCGGCGGCCGAAACCGGAAGAAGAAAAAAAACGAGTCCGGGTTCGGCCGCCAGAGGGCCGGAGGTTTAAGAAGAGAAAGCGACGGGACGACTTCAGAATGTCGATCGACGGTCGACGAAGGACTTCTTTTCGCATGGACCGGACGACGGCCACGCTGTTGCTCGCCGCCTGCCTCTGCGCCGCCGTCCGCGGACACCGGACGCCTCCCGGAACTTCCGGTACGTGCCTTTTCCCTCGCGGCCACCCGGAATCGGACCCTCCGTCCGGGTGGACGGTCCGACGCCCGGGGCGACTGGGCCCCGTCCCGTCCGGGACCGGATCTGACGTCCGTCTCTTGCAGATCGACCGGAAGTGGTGGTTCCCGAAAGGATCGACGGAGCCGGGCGATTTGTGGGTCACGGCCTGGCCCGGCACTTCGGACGCGGAAAGAGATCGGCCGAAGAAGCCGTCCACTATCGTCTGCCCGCCGGCGGAAGGGACCTGCTGCTGACTCTGAGGCCCAACCGGGGCCTGCTGGCCCCCGCCTTCGTGGTAGAGAGGCGTCGGGGTTCCAATTCCACTTTCCACCGGAGCCGGAAACCCTCGGAGGACGGACTTTGCTACTATCGAGGGAACGTCCGCAACGACACTGGCTCTAGCGTGGCGCTGTCCACCTGCGACGGTCTGGTAAGTCTCCATCCTCCTCTTCCTCTTCCCACTCTCTCCGTTTACTCCGGAATCGGCGCAAATGCCCCGGGGGAAACCGAGAGATTTCCCCATTTCCGCTTCCGATTTTCTCGTTCGCGATTTCTACCTGCGGAAACGACGGATCTCCACTCCTTCCGAAAACGGAACCGATAAAATATCGAATTTGGTAAAATTCTTGATTTCGAATAACGAAAAATCTGTTAAAATTACGATTTTACCCGTGGCTGGACGTAAAGCCCGACGGTTTTTTTTCGTTCGAGTTTGCTTCCAACTCGGGCCTACAATCGAGATAATCTTTGGCTTTCCGCCGTAAGATGGCGGCGATATGACGGTACGGCCCGGTTACATACTTTTCTGGCACGATTTTAGTGCCGAGACCGTATCAATCGCGCCTCTTCGTTCGGACGAAAGGGCGGAAAATAAAATAACTCGACGAAAACTTGGCCACTTTCCCGTCTTTAGACCGGGGAAATAACCCGAAACGATAATACTTCGTTTACAGAAAACCCGAAAGTTAGCGAATTACTCAAATTTTTGGCCGAGATAAACGTGAAAATTCGTACCACGATTTTATTTTTACTTTAAAATCAGTGCCGTATTTTCTTCAAAAAAGAAAGAAAATACGGTAGACGTGACCAATTTAATCGGTTAATCGGCGCGCGTGAAAAATATAATTTAATATTCGATTTATTTTTGCAATTTTCCTTTCCTCTTTCTCGTCCGTCGCGCGACGTGGTAAAGACGCGGAGGAAGTCTCGCCATTGATACTCCCTTACCTCGCTGGCCGTGGGGGGACGGATCCTTTTTATCCGTCATTCTCCCCCGCTTTCTCGGTTTCCGAGTTTATTCTCTGGAGAACCAAGTTCGAATAACGGTTCACCTACACCCGCCAAACTCCACGTGGCCGGCCGGGCGCCACGTGCAGCGTGGGGTTTTTATTCGTCGGGCTACCGGCGGTCGCTAACGTTTTTTTCGTTCTCGATTTGTTCGGATTGCCCTCTTCTGGTCATTTATTCCGTGTCCGTTCCCACCGTTAACGCCGGAAGGATGTGGATCCGGTGTTAGGACGTTAGGGTCCGGCCATGGCGCTTTATATATGCGCGTGTATATAATGCGCGTTACATATATATATAATGGTCCCGCGCGCGTAGGGATTATTAACACTGAAAATAAAGGAATCGATGGACATTTTAATTAGAAATTAACGAGAGGTGGGCCGAAAAATTGTTATTGGTCGGGGTTAACGATCTCGTTCCCTCGCCCGTCCGGGGAATTACATCCGGTAACTTCGAACGGAAAAAAAATATCCGAATTTTCTACCGACGACGTCATCCGTACGCCTCGGACGAATTTGAAAAAAATTCGTTTATTCTGTCGAGGTGAACGCACCGCCGGCCGGCGAGTGGGGCGTCCCTCGAACTATGCGTCTCGGCGCCCTTTCTCGCCCCAAATTTGCCCGTAAATCCTCTTCCAAATACGACCTTTGCCTTCCTACCGAAGTACTTTTTGTGCAGGCGCGAGGGAGTCAGCGCGTGCCCGTCGACTCGGCGGATTCTCTATCGTACGTTTGTTTGGCGGTGGGATGGGCCGTGCCGAATTTCACCTCCCGTCGCGCGACGAAGACTAATTTTATAAAATGAACTCTTTCCGATACCCCTAAATTTGCCGGGAGTCGTATCGAGATAACGCTTTAACCTTGAATTCTATTTCTATAAACGTAGACGAAAGTTCTTGTATATTTTTTCCGTCTTTCTCCTCTGGACCGGGCTCTTACGCATCTTTAGACGAATTTCCTCCGTGGTTTATCCGGTCTGGGGATAAAAAATGAATCCGGCGGAACTGCCTTTGTTAGATTTCCTTCTCGCTTCGTTATCGCCTCCGTTTTTTCCGGTAATTGTAATTCTGTCACGTGATTCGTACCGTAGGACGCGGCGGTTATTTGTCCGTCCTTCGCCGTCCTCTTAGACCAGACGTCGGAAGTGCTTCTGCCTCCGGAGAGAACTGCCGCTGTGTATCGAAGCCGGAAACGGAAGTTCGTGGCATTCTTAAATTTCCGACATCTATCGTATTCGTTTATTCTTATCGTAATATCGATATATTTGGACGTATAAGAGCGAAGATCGTATCTGAAGTTTTTACGCTCTACCTGTACTTCGAAGATTGTAGTTTTCCCTCTTTTTATAGAATTGTCTCTTTTAACTTACTGCTTTCCCATCGACCTTGCGCCCAACAATTTATTCCAGTTATTTCCTCCTTTCGGTAATTCTAGAAAAAACCACTGGAATAGAAGTCGGTTCCTTTCTTTCCCATTATTTTCCTTCTTTCGGGGTTTAATATACGTGTGACGTGGGGTGAGAATCGAACCACTTTTGTAAGTTGCCATCTGGGAGATAAAAATATTCGCGTTATTTGTGCGTGTGATTTTTATCTGCAAATAACAATTAAAAACGTTTTATTCCCCGAAGGAAAAGGAAAATGTTACTCGTCCGAAACAAAAGTAATTACGTGGAGGAAAGGTAGAGACTATACGAAATATTATACGTGTGTATCGTTTAATTTTTTTCACGTTTCGTCGGCGCGTAAGAGTCGAAGTTCCTTTCCATTATTCGTCGTTGAACCGCGGTATTTAGTCTCTTAAACGTTTCAACGTTTCTAGCGTTAAATCCGTGTTTCTGCGGGTAGAATTATCCGAGAAGAACGAGTTTTACCAGTCCCCTCTTGGGTTTCTAGTCTCCAATTATGCCAGCATCTAACGCGTGACGTTCTCCGCACGTTCGCGTCCCGGCCGCGGCGTTAACCGACGAATTCGTGCCACGTGACGCTATACGCGGAGACCCGGCACCCAGACGTACTCCTTTATTTGGATGGTCAAAAGTGCGTTTTAAACCAATTTAAATCCATTTTTCGCTCGGGAAAGGTCATTTTTAAATACGAATTTTGCTCTTCGCGCTTTTTTTAACGGGCGAAATTTTCAACAAAAATCTGTTGTATTTTTAAATGTTGATTATTAAAATAAGGCTAATTTAATACCAATGAAACTCGAGAACTCTAGTAAGGCTATTTTAATCAAAATTTGTAACGCGGCGGTTAAATTTTAGAAAAATTTGTGGTCATCCGCTACAGAACGGCCCCATTGACGAAGATATTTGATGTTATCGGGTGCTGATGCCGGTATGGAAGGAAGGGCCTGGCCCGGTGGCTTATTTTCCAGGATTTCACCCTACCCAGTTTTCGGCTATTCCTACCTCGAGGTCCCGACACGGGCTCTCTTATTGTTCGTTGGATGTTGCCGGGTCCCCGTAACGGTCCGAGTTTCGGGGCACTAAAAATATATGTCGGATAATACTATTAAAGTTTATAGTGTTACTCGGACCGACACTATCGAGTTAAATTTTAAGTTAATCTTCCAGACTAGGAGTTTCGTATTATCGGCATCGACTTGGAATTTTCGGCGCGTTGTGGTCGAGAAGGGTGGATAGTGGAAAGGCGAATAAACCAAACTTTATTCTCGCGATATCCTTGAAAGTTATGCCACCGGTGATATACTTTTTGAGAAAAACGAGTCGTAAAGTTCGCCCGCGTCCATATCCGGTTATAAAGTTTCGAAAGCCAGGCGCCATTGTCTGGAGCAAAAAAGGTGTCAACATTTTATGCCTCTTCGCATTTAGACGAAAGGATAGTTTAAAATATGTATAAATATTTACAGTGTTGTTACGCGAGACGTCGGTGAAACGAGAGAAGCGCCGGTGGTAGACATCTGTGTTTCTCCAATCGTCCGTCAAAGAGAGAATACGATAATCTGTCCATGTCCAAAGATGGGCTACACCGATCGACTGGAAAGTTTCTTTGTACGTAGCGCGCATTATACGGTTCTTTATACAGCGCGTAACGGAACTTCGTGCCGATACAAGAAATCCTGGTTAATTCGAACTCGGTTAGTTGGAAATTTCCAGTGAAAATTCTATGGGATAAGCCTACGTTAACTGGTTCGTTTAGATCCGAGTGCTGTAAGAAAACAATAGATCGAGAACGACTCTAATCCGGTCAATATGGCTTTGCCTTACTGTAACCTTACCCGCCTTACCCGCGGTCTACCTTTTTTTTTTCCTTATCCCATAAAATACGACTGGTTTTCGGGATGGCGAGATTGGGTTACGAATAGCGGATTGAGATATTTGTAGGGATGTAGGTTAATACATTTGGTCCACGTTTCGAGGAATTCTGCTTTACTTTTTATAAAAACCTATCCGCCAACCCGCCAGGTTCTCACCCAACGAGTGCCGTTTACCCACAGTTTATTTATATTATTATTACTAATTAACGAAAATAGCGTTCTTTATACGTAACTGTATTCCTCTTACTTAATAAATTACGTTGATTACGTGATATTTGACATATTGTACAGAAATATGTAAATCTAGGATAATTGGAAGCGGTCTCTCGAATTTCGAACTAACGAGGATTTCGTGTATTTTAGGGAGAGATTCTAGGGTGAAGAATAAGTTTAAAATCCTTTATAAACCTTCTGCAAATTTGTTTTCGACATCTAGAGAACATTTTGAGTAGTTTTTAGTAGATTAGTAGGACTGCGGACAATGAAAATCAGTTACTTTTCTACATTCGTTGATACGAGTTCGGGACAAGTGTCGAACGAATCCAGTTGCACTTTATTGCATTATTTACTTCTTTTCGTTGTTTTTAATCTATTATTATTTTTCGTTGTTTTATGCATTAATTAATGATTTTTTTAGAAATAAAAATGGGCATATTTGGGATTTGGTAACACATTAATTCGCTTTACATTATTCCTTATGGGAAAACTCCAGCAACGAGTTGCTTTACTTTCCCGGCCACATTTAAAACTACGTGTTGCACTATCCGTCGGGATACTTTATTTTTTAAATTTTTTCTGTATTTTTAATTATTATAAAATGGCAAAAAGCTTAATTTTGAGGGTAGGGACGAGTTTTATAAAAATA